ACCAACAACACCAACAGCACCAACACCCTCATCCACACCCACAACAGCAACCAATACAGGGGCAGTCACATCCTCAGAATGCTTCATCTCATCCTTCGTTGAGTACTTCACAAATGCACCTTTCAATGCAACAGATGCAACAACAAAAATACAACCAGTATCACTCACAGCAGTTACCCCAGACTCAGCCTTCCCATCAGCAGCACCAAGTGGGCCATCCATATCAGCAGAGCCAGAACCAGGGTCAGTATCATTCTCAGTTGATTGGAATGATGCAAAACCAGATGGGTGGGCCTGAGATACATGGAGGAAATAATTCTGGTGTTGGAGCTTTTAGCCAAAGTATGCCGAACAAGAGAGTGGTTCAGTCGGGAGGTATGATTGGGGTTGGAGGAGGTGGAGGAATGGGACATCCCTCAGGCCAGTTGTTAAGCACTCAAAACTCTCATGGAGCTGTTAACAGCATTGGTAATGGTATTGGGGGAGTATCATCTTCATCTTTAGGTAGCGGTAGTGGTAATAATAGTGGTAATGTTGGCATTGGAAGCAGTGGAAGTGGAGGAAATATGTCTAGGCAAATGAGTGCTTATATGGGATATTCTAGTATGCAGGGTAGAGGAGGCGGACCAAGCGAGGTGGGTGGGAATCTGGGAGAGAGTGTGATGGGAGTTGGGTTAAACTCTGGGATGAACGCAAGCGGTGTTGGACAGACTTCAGGGGTAATTCCACATTCAGCATCTACTAGTGGCAGGTTAATTCCTCCCTCTTCCTCAATAGAAAGTCAAAGGTACAGTAATTCAAACTCAAATACAAGTAGCATTAGTGGAGGTGGAATGGGAGGAGGGAGCGTCTCTGGAACGACTTCAGGAATACCATCTAATGAGAATAGCATTTCAGGAACTCACAAGATGGTAGTTGGAGGAGTTCAACAACCACAGCAGAAGGTAACAGTTTCCAATCCTGGGTATATTGGAGGGAATACTGGCACAATGGGAGGCAAAGGCTCTGATATGTGGGTTGGAACTAACAACGCAGATTTAGGAATAGGAGGAGGACTGACTTCGCCACAATCACACCCCATTCACCATCAATCTCATCCAGCTTCAGTAAATGGAATGGCTCACGGGACAGGCATAATTGGTGGTGTAGGAGTGGGGCTGCACGGTGATAATAATACACATTTAGGTCTTTCTGTTAAGCAAAACTCAGTGGGACAACACTACGGCACTTTGTCTGGCGAATTGAACTCCAATATTGGAGGTACAGGAAGTTTGAGTGGAGTCCAGGTTGTGGGTATGGAGGAGGGGGTTAGCATTACTGGTACTAGTTCTGGTACTGCCAATACCACCAATACTAATACAGCTGCAATTTCAAATTCTAATTTAAACGTTATTAATAATATTGCTGATAAAACTAGTAAAAACATCAATAGCTCCCAATGAGAAATTTGGATGTATAAAATATAAATATTGTTGATTATTTGGAAACTAACATGAATTTCATGGATTTTTATAATCCAGATTAATATTATAATTGTTAATTTCTGTAATATAGAGAAATTTACCTACATTTGAGAGTAATTAAGTGAATAGCAGTATTATTCTTTTTCCAAATAATATTAAAACATGCATATTTATATATAATGCAAATATTCACTTTCTTTGGTATCTTAATTTTAACCAAGAGGAAAAAGAGACTATGAAATGTTGGAATGGTTGATATAATCAAAATAAAGTAGGATTGCTAGAATTTTCCAGTTCTGTTAATTGGAAAAAACAGACTTAATTAATGGAGGTAGAATACCGGACAAATGCTCCATTTATTTTCAAACATTTTTGGTTAAATATTTAGGGAAAGGAAAGAGGAAATACCTATTCGACTTTAATGAGTATATTAAGTTTGTAGGTAAAAATGTGAATTTTCATTTTATAATTAATTTTTCGGTGGAAGAAATGAAATGAAGTAAATTATTATATTATTATTTTTTTTCTTGTTAAAAATCAATATATTAGTTACAAATTGAATACCACTACTTACATGTATGTATATAACATAGTAAATAGATGATTAGTTATTAATTTAAAAATAATACTTATAAATTTAAGTCTTCTTGATTAGAGTAAATTAGAATGATTAAAACTTGATTAATCAAGTCAAACTTTCAATTTAGAACTTACTCTTAACTTTGTGAGCAGATTCAGATTTATATTGGAAGAGTTGAGGAATTGGAGAAGTGAAGAATTGAATAAGAGAAAAAGAGAGAGGATTGAGACTTCAACAAACTGCCAGAAACCCAGTTTCAATTAAGAAAAAGAATTCATAAATTTTAATTATTTTTTTTGCAATTTCGAAGTCTTGTTCAAGAAAAAAAGATAGTACTTATACGGAATCACAGATATGGATGTGTCTTTTGAATGATTAGCTAAAAAATAGATGGAAAAAAATTGGAGAACTCAATTGAGGTATTTCCCAAGCTTAAACAGAAGATAGAAGAAATATAGGATATTTCAAAAAATAATAAAAATAATAACAAAAGCGAAAATTATCAAAATAATTATTGACTTATCAACATAAATGATGTGTTTCGGCGGGAAATGTGGGGCAGGATTTTTGTGGGATTGCAAGTGAGAATTTAAAATAGAAATAATTAGAGTGGCGATTTTTGGGGAAAAGTGATTAATTAGAGTTTTACTCAATTAATTTAGAAGGGGAATTAAGTTTTTTCCTTTTATGTTTGATAGTGGACACTGAAAGGAAAAACTTTTAAGGATTTTTGATTCAAGAAGCTTAGGAGTCAGAACTTATGTCGTGTTGAAGCGGGAGGAGTTTCTAAATAGATAATAACGACTTCAGCATACTGTTTAGAACGATAGTAAGAGAAAATTTTTCAATCTTTTAAAGCTTTCATGGTTACAACGGACAGAATTTGAACAAACCATAATTTTGACAAATTAGTTCAATTGCGAAAGTTGAAGTGGTTATAACAATACAATAAATATTAAAGTGGTTGCATGCAAATTAAATTAGGGTTTTTAAAATAATTATTGAGCAAAAAATATATTTACCACGTAATAATACATTAAACGAATAAAAATTATAGGGGGTATTAAACTTAAGTGATAGCAAATTTGTTTCTTTTTGGATGAAATATGTAATAAGAATTAATTCAATTTCACTTTAGATAATTAAGAAGCTTGATTAAGTAACATATACATATATATATATATATATATATATGTATATATATATATGTATATATGTATGTATATATATGTTATTTATTAATACAAGCATAGCAGCATCTCCGTAATTTCAGTAGAAAAGGGATATTAGGGTAGTTATAAGCCATGATTAGGAGCAAGAGATTGAGTTATATTTCAACTTTTGAGGATGAAAAAAACTATATGGACGATAATTTAAAGCTGGAATTTAATGATCAAGCCATGGTAATCGACGGTAATTGTGATGGCTTGGTGGTTCATGACAGTACTGATAATGAAAAAGAAGATGGAGAGGTTGAAATGGTAGATTTGATTAATGAAAGCAATCAAGAAAAGGATATATACGGTGAAATTGATGATAATGAAGAAAGTGATGAAGGGAGCGATACAGTTTTTCCACTAATATCAGAGCCTTTAAAGACTTATGTAACAGTAAACCCTGCAACTCTTGAAGACGAGGAACTTTGGTCATTATCTAGCTTGAAAAGCTTATGTGAATATGTAGGACTTTCAATCAAGGGAAATAGGAGGTGTATATTAAACAGGCTCCAGGCTTGGAATGGAGCTCCATTATCAGGAGCCGGCCATCCAGACTCATACGATACACGTTCGGCAAGATTTCATACAGTTCCAATGGCATTTTTGGAAAAGAATAAGATCGATCAGAAAAGTAAGGATAGCTACTTAGGAAGTGGTGACAAAGAGAAAGATGGAAATTATTTGGGAATGAATAGCTCTTTGAATCTTAGCATAAATACTCATGAAAGTAGAGAATTGGATGAGAATGAAGGTTGCCATATTAATCTTAAAAGTTTTCATTCTCCCTGTATTATAAAAAAAATGGAATCTTTAACTTCAACCCCTGTAACATCTTTTAAAAGAGAAATAAAGTCTTGTTTGAACACTACAAGTACCCCCAGAAAGAGATTGGCACATACTTCCAAGTCAGCTGGAAGGATATATTTTTCTCCTTACAACCATGTGAGGGTTTTTGTATCTAACCCAGGAGAGAGGGAGTTAAATATGGATCCTGACTCGGTTTTAAGATTGATTGACGACTATGATTATGATGATTTTGAGGAGGATGATCGATTTCTGGGAGAGGATAATCATGCAAATGGAAACAATAGAGAGAATAATAATCAAAACGAAGAAACTAATTTTCTAGTTAACAAGGATTATAATGAAGAAAACAATAGCAAGAGCAACTTTTGGAACAATTCAGAAAGTGTTTTTTCTTAAAATGATTAATTAGTTATAAATAGGGTTTTCAGAATAGATCCTTGTTTCTGTATGTGAAGAATATTTGAGTAATTAACTTGGATTATTCAATATTATATTAATACTTAGACCAATTACAAAAATACACATCATTTACAATTAGAAAATAACAGAGAAAAATTAGTAATTAATATCTACTTTTTTGTAATTGAAATAGTCTATTGCTTATCTTTTTTATCTTCTTGGTCATTCTTAAGTTGCCTCAAAGCATCCTGGATTCTTGGATCATTGATATCTACTCCTGGTATTCCTTGGATAAGTCCTTCAATAGAGTTCGGATTGTTTGAGTTTCCAGAATCAGCGTTATTCCCATGATTAGAATTTATAGTAACATTAGATGTATTTTCAGACGAAGATGTATCTTGTGGCTGATTACTGTTACTATCGTTGTTATTGTTAGATTCATTTCCAGAAAAATCTTGGATAGAAAGTAGAAGGGCTTGCCTAAGCTCATCATCAACTTCCATTGCATTAATCTCATTAATAGTTGGAATAGAATCAAAGTTATTAGTTGTTGTAGATTGCCCTTGTGTTGAGCTACCTGCATCTGCAGATGAAGAATTTCTTGCAGAATTACCTTCAAGCCTCATCTGACGGTTTCTTTCCTCTTCCATTGACATTCTGAGGGCCATATAAAGCTCAGGATCAGCATTAGGGTCGATTCCAAACTCAAATCCAGACATATCTCCATTAGTTTCACCAAATCCATCCGCATCGACTCTAGAAGAGGCACCCTCTCCTAGAACAATGGGAGACGACATAAGAGCATCAGTTAAATTTGTAGGAGCAGCAATTTCAACGAAATTACTAGTATTATCATTATTCGCAGCATTCACCAAAGCTTGAAGCCTTTCTCTATTCACAAGGATCTCTCCAAAACTAATAATATCAATAGAAACATTGTTTTTTTTTAAAACTTTCCCTAGCTTTTCTAGCTGCTTCTCAGTTAAATCATCCTCTAATGGACTACCAACGAAACAGACAATTCTTTGCCTTAAGTTCTTATTAAGTCTATGCTTTAGAGCCAATTGCGCAATTTGTATTCCTCTTAGCAAATCAATTTTCCCACTAAGTCGAATTCCATCCATTGCATGCATTGTCTTGCTTAAATCCGATGTTGGCGTTACTCTCAATTCAATTCTTTCCCCTGCCATTGATAATATTCCAACAAGATTTTCAGGATTCTGTTGAGTTTTTACACCAGAAAGAAAATTGGTTGCATCCTGTTGCTGGAGCATTCTTGATGTCCCATAATCCCCATTTCTTGAATAGTTTGAATTATCCAAACAAATTACCGTTGCTTCCAAAGCCATTCTTGCAAATATTTTAACCCTTTAAATTTTCTCTTTGATATTTTTTCGCTCAGTTATTGCTCTGTACGTACTATTACTAAATTCTCGTTAGTACAAAACTATTTTCATTCTATTAATATAATATTTTTACCTCAAACTGATAAATCTCGTAAATTGTACACTTTACCTTGTTTTACAAGTATTAATAAAAAATAATTTAAATTCCCCTCAATGGCGCCAAGTGTGTATAAAATAATAATTTTTTTTAGCAGAAAAAATTGCAGGTGAAATCTAATTGAGATTTGGGTGGAAATTGCAGGTGTTTGGGGAACATCTATTGAATATAAAAGTTGTTATAAGAATATTATTTAGGGTTTATCCTCCGATTGTTTAATTTTATAGTCGAATCTCACTAAATGTTTTATTTTTTTTTGTCTTAATATATATATTTTGAAATAAATGGTTGAACTATAGTTAAATATAGATAAATTACCAGATAAGTACTAAAAGAGAACACTTTGTTTATTCATTCAATACTATGGTAATATTGAAGTACATAATGTTTTTTAATTTTTAATAAAAATTATCTAAATTAGCAGTCAGGTTGGAAACTCTAAACCTTGGAAAAAAATATGGCGGTAACTGGGGAATTTTTTTTTATTAGAAATATTTTAATGAATACATAATTCTATATATTAGCTTTAATACACTGAAAAATAATTACATTAAGGGACAAAAAATAAAAATCTTTATTAAAGCTTGTATAAACAACAAACAATTTTTTAATAAATTAATAATTATTGAAATCAATTTATGGAGGAGTGAAATTAATAATTATTAAGAAAGAGCGAGCATTTATTACAGTTTTAAGTATAAAAAAAAATAAAGCCATTATTAAGATTTATTTGATTTAGTTAGAGTTTTTGGTGAACATTTACTGGATTTCTAGTGGACTAATATGGGGTCATCTGATAATAATAAGGAACTTCAGAATCAACAATATTTGATAGTGGCATGTGCCTTGACTGAAAACAATAAGGATTCGATTAAAGATGAGCTAATAAGGAACTCAAAGAACATTAGCTCTAATGTAAATATTTTAGATTTTGACGTTCCATTCTCATTAAAGTTTGGAGCATTTGACGATTTAGTTAAGTTAGTGGATGATTTGGCTAAACATGATACTGGTGTAGAAGTAATTTTAAGGAGAGTGGAGAGGCTTGGCTTAGAATTGGACCCTACAATGGAGTTGAGGATAATATGGCAAAGAAGTTCATATACAATCCAACAGTATTTGAAGAACTTCTCTTGGGACCATGCTAAATTTCCAAAAGAAAGATCAATGAAGGAGAATTTAGCAGCATTATTACAATCTGTCTCGAAATTAGATTTAGATTTAAGAACGAAATCCGCGCAGTTTAACGAGGTAAAAAATTCAGTTCAGAACAGTTTTGGAAAAACGGCTATTCCAAGTTCTTTAAATTCAGGTAATAATATGGAAAATGGAGTTGTTAATAGTAATAATGGCAATTTAATAGTACCTGGCACTTTAAATACAAAGGATTTGACAGATGTAATTACACCAGAATGTATTGAAAGCGGGGATATTGTTGACACTGAACATATTCTTACAGTTTTTGTAATTGTTCCAAAAGGAAACAAGGAAAACTTTTTGAATAGTTATGAAAACTTTGACAAATATGTTGTTCCAAAGTCTGCTAAGTTCATACCAAAGATTACTGACAAAGATGGAAATGAAATAGTCAGAGTTTTAATATTTAAGTCTTCTGTTGAGAATTTTAAGACTAGCTGTAAGAATCATAAGTTCGTTTTAAGGGATGACTTTAAATATTCACAAGAGAAGTTCAACCATTTAATGAGTAGCCGCCAGAAACTTTTACAGGAGAAGGACAAGCAAGAGAAGTACCTTAAAAGAATGTGTTTTGCTGGGTTCTCCGACATTTTCATTTCTTGGATGCATGTTAAAGCTATGAGATGCTTTGTAGAGGCTGTATTACGTTATGGAGTACCACCACAATTTGCCTCGTTTATGATTAGTATGGAACCAAATCAATCAAAGATAAAGAAAATCCAGAATTCTGTAGAGAAGGTGTTTACTGAAATGGGCAGAATTGGTGCCACATTTAAGTCTAATGAAAAGGATGTTGATGAAGAGTACACTCCATATGTATTTCTACAATTCTCTCCCTATCAACAGTTTCCTTAAGTCTTATATTCATTATAAGATTTAGCCTATACTGAGGAGTGGATATATCGGAATTCAGATAAAAAATTATTATTTTGTTATACTAAAACATTTTTTTAACAAGAATAAGATTTCCTGTTTTTAATACTGTTATTTTTTACTTTTTTTATCCCAAATTAATCCTTATTTGATATGTCTATATTTATCTACAATTTTGTTATTTTAACTTAATTTTAACTAGTTTTGCTCTCGTATTAACTAGAGTCATTGTCAGAAGATGCTGAAGCAGAAGATGGAGACCAAAGTATATCATAGTTTCTCAGCATTAGTTGGTTTGGTATATTTGCTTCTTTCACATTCACATTCTTATGATCTTCTTTAATTAGATCTTCATCGGATTGCAAAGTATCTTGGGTGAACAAAAAGTAGTTACCTATTTTGTTCTTGTTAGTTTCTTTATCAATTGAATTGAAGTAGTTACTCCCATTAATATCCGGTAGGTCAGTATTATCATTGTCATAGAGAGCTTTAATTTGCTGACGAACTTTTTCTTGCTGCTTTCTAATTCGTTCAATTCTCTGAGCTGTCGTATTGATTTCTTTGTTCTGGTCGTCACTAACTTCAATTTTCACAGAATCAACTGGATTAATATTTTTATCTTCTTGAAAGTTTGTAACACAAGGCTGGGTCTCTTGCTTAGATCTTGCTTCTTTTAATACTGAAATCCAAGGCGTATCTATATATGCTTCTAATACATTGATGAATGTAAATATTGTCTCCTGTAAGTTAAGTAAGTCTCCATGAAAAATTTGTAGCTGATCTGAAAGTCTGGACTCCTCATCATGAGTAATATCCTTCTTAATTTGTTCGATTCCTTCTTGAAACTTGATATTGCCTTTCCCAAATTTGGAGGGAATGTCCCTATTACACCAATCAGGAACTTTGTTCTGCTCGATTTTCGTTGAATTTCCGACTAAATTCTTTTCTTTTCTAATTAAATAAGAGAGTTTTCTCATCTGCTCATTCAGTACGACACTAATACTTTCCAGATTTGAGACAGAATTCTTTACTTGCTTACATTGGTACCTAAACCCTTCAAATGAAAACAAGCCTCTTTTGCACTCTATGCATAATAACTCAACTATATTATCAGATAGCTCAACTCCTAAATTTTCGGCAACTACAAGTTTGTCTCTTTTGCAAATTAAACATTCATCAGAATCTCCGAGGTTTCCAACTCCTCCTTTTGGGGATCTTCTCTGATGATTTCCAAATAATAAATCATATATCAGTTCTTGCTTTGCATAGTTCCTTTGGTTTTGCATCGTAAATCTAGTTCTTTAACCCCAACACAGTTTTTAACTCCCTTCCAGCGAAAGGAAAAACTCTGGAGAACTTTTTTCACCCTATATCGCTTTGTTTAATTTTTTCATGCAAACCCCATGCAAGGCGCCAATATGTACACTGAAAATATTAAATATATTTTTGAAGCAATTAATAGAATAAAAGGTATTAGGTATTGAGAAATAATCAATTAGACTCAAACATTTATCTTTACACAATAATAATTCTGTAAATTATAGGTTTCCATGTTCACATGAAAATTCCCTGTATTCCTTTCTTCCTTTCATAATCTGGCAGAGCCTTTATTACCTTGTTTTTAACCCGCTTATATGGAATTTTTACATGCAAAGCAAATTAATGTATAAATTTAGAAGTAAAAAAAATAGGTTAATTAAAAAAGAATCTTGTGGATGGTTTGGATTATGGTAAAGAGTACATCGTGAATTCTTTTATTGCTTTGTTTTTGAGTTATTTAAGGCTTTCATCTACAACTTGAATTGAAATTGGGTTTCTAATACAAAAAATAGAAGTGGCTAACTTAACATAAGTTGGGAGATATTTTTTATTTATAAGCTAGTATTTCTCTGCCCGAGCAAACAAGGTAGAAGTTGATTATTTTGTATGTTTAAAATTAGCAGATAGCATTTGGGATGGAAGAATACTGAATAAGAATGAATACTCCAAGCAGAAAGAATACTCAAAATAAAACCAATGATGAATCTTTGTTAGGTTCTTACTACAGACTAAAGTCTTATAAAAAGCTTGCTAACAATACAAAGAAGAAGACCACAATAACTGGAGATGTTTGTAACCAGAATTCAGATGAAAACGCAATTTATACAACCCCGATTAGGAGCTCTCGGAGAATAGATTCTCGCAAGAACTATGAAAGGAAAGAGTCAAGTTTTTTGGATCATTCTCCAGATACTAAGAATGAAAAGATTTTAATTACCCCTAACCCATATATTAGGGATGATATTGTTGAGGAGTTACTGAATGATATGCTTTTGAAATACAAGGACAAAATTCAGGTAATTAGTTTTAATAAGCAACAACCTCAAATACTTGAAGATAGTATTAAAGGCGAAATTGAAGATTTAGATACTGAATTTAACTCAAAGCTACAAATTAATGATTCTTTTTCTAAAACAATGGTTCATGAAAACGAAAATTTAGCAAATCAGGGAGAAATTAAATTTAAAGATGAAGACGAGGAAAAAAGTGAAGCGGAGGATAGAAAACTTGAGACAGGCTCACCAAAACTAACTGAGAGAAAGAAGTACTTTATATGTAGAAATAAGCCAAGAAAGCTTATTGGGGGAGGTACAGGAGCTGGATCAATTTTACAGAACACTGTAGGCAAATATGAAGTTATTGCAGAAAACGAATATTGGATGGTTGTTGAGTTCCCAAAGAACAGTAGTCTTTATAGGAAACATAAATGCTCACGCGTTCTTACCCAAAAGAGAATATTTGGTAACCCTGTTAATTGCCCGGTAATCCGTTCTATTGATGAGTACAAGACTTTACATTCGGAAATAAAACAATTACTAGAACTCAGCAATTACTGTTACTCCCCCGACTTGTTTTAAATTGGAATAACTACATATTTGTATAACTAATTGCGGTATTACATTAACACTTTTTAATTTGATGAAGGAAAATATGAAAAGGTAGGGTAAATCCTAATTTTTACATATAATGTATATGAAATAACTTACATGCAAAAAAAGGAGATAATTTAAAAAAGAGGCTTTTTTTACTAGTTTGAATCATATTTGTGTGCATGTACAATTAATATTACAAATCTATTATTTGAATTACTGCGAAGATTTTAAGTTCAGAAAAATTAACATAACTATAGGTTAACTGAATAATTTATTTCTGTTCTCTTTTAGGAATCTCAATTGGTATTCACAAATTTATTGTTTTTTTTTCTTACTCTAAAATCATTTAGTGACAATTTTCCCAAACCTTATCAATTTTTCCACTTTTTACCCACAACGCTGTTCCCGCCTTTGTACTAAACGGAGGTGGCGCCTTTGAGGCGCGCAGCGTAGATTTTATTGATATTTTTGTTGTTCAGCTATTAGTTTAAATAAATTTGAGCAAAGGGGGAAAGCTATAGAAATAAATCGTAGCTTATAAGTTGGTCAAAAAATTATTTTTTTGAAACTTTAAGGCAATATAGAATTAGAATAATATATTTGCGTGAATATTTTTCTAACCCAAGATTAGACAAGAAGTTCAAGAAATATGGCATTAAAACGAATTCACAAGGTAAGTTTTTGATGGATCTTTGGCCAGTTTCCCATGTTATATTATGTTGTGTCATGGCTAAGTGCTAAATTTTTTATTGAGTTAATTGCAATGACGAGTCTATTTTGTCTACTGAAATCTTATTGAATGAATTCCTGTCATCGTGTGGTTAACTATTGAATTTTTTTTTTCTTAATGGGGATCATAATTTATTAAGTGTTTGCAATTAAGCCATATTTAGTGTGAAGAAAATCAAGTAATTTGACGATATTTAACTTGAAACTCCCACTAAATTAATTGTCGGAGACAACATTATATACCATTAGGGATTGCCTGCGGTTTTGATAGGTTTTAAACTGGCTAAATTATTACCTAAGTAATTGAATTAACTTACCACCTTTTACATTTTTTTTGATAATTTAGGAATTAAGCGACTTAAATAGAGACCCACCAACTAACTGCTCAGCTGGTCCTATAGGAGATGACATGTTTCACTGGCAAGCAACCATTATGGGTCCAGATGACAGTTCATATGCTGGCGGAGTATTCTTCTTAAATATCCAATTCCCTAGTGACTACCCATTCAAACCACCGAAAGTCAACTTTACTACAAAAATTTACCATTGCAATATAAATTCAAATGGAGCCATTTGTTTGGATATTTTAAAGGAACAATGGAGCCCTGCACTAACTATATCAAAAGTCCTTCTTTCTATATCATCATTATTAACTGATGCTAATCCGGACGATCCTTTAGTACCTGAGATCGCTCACTTGTATAAGACAGACAGGTCGAAGTATGAACAAACTGCTAGGGAATGGACTCAGAAATATGCTCAGTAAGGACATTACATGAATATTTGAAGGAAGAAAAGGAAAGGGAGAAAGATTAGAGAAAAAAGGGATAATAAGAAGTAATTGGGTTGAGACTATATAAAGAATATTCTCTTTCCTTATTATAATAGTTATCCTTTTCTTTTGTATATGGGATTATCTTTTTGACAACTCCGTAAAGATGGTTTTCACTTTTCCTCATAAATTGATTGTGAAGTTGTTAATATACGATTCACAATTGCAAAATTAGGAGATCATATTAAAGCTGTCAATTGGCCATTTACAAATTCCCACTCTCCCTTTCCATCTGGCCTTAAAGCAGTTACAAGGTATTGGGAGAATATTATTATTTTTAATCACCATACATTCCATTTCAACCGGGAAAATTTAATACCTAATTTTCATATCAAGGTTATATATTTGGGTATATTTACCTATTTATTTAATCTTATTTGGGTAATTGCATTTAATTATGTTCTCGTATGCTTAATTTTATAATTAAAGGTGCGCGGCAATTTATGATTAATTTAGAATGTGGGTTGCACACATAATTGTTATTGCCCACAAGCTTATTCAATTATCTTTCTTTACTGGAAGGGATTAAGTAGGGGTATTACGATGGTTCAGGTGGAAGTACACTCACAGGTTTCTTTAGCTTGATTTTTCTATTATGTTGGTGAGTAGTTTGGTTGGCCTAGGTATATGTGTACATATATGTAAATATATAGGTACATGTATAACTTGTGTCGGAAAATCTAATTTCAAGTTGATATGGAAGGTAAAGCATGTTAAAGTAAGCAATTCATAATTTTGATGTTCCAAAGCATGAGACGTCACTTTTTTTGGATTAGTCTGAAAACTTGTGTTTTACAACTAGTGGATAATATATTGCAATTTCATACTTTAATAATCAGCACATGATAATTGTCTTGTGCTGGTGTTAAATTGACTACTAAATTACTACTTACTAACACTATTACTCGTTTAATTGATTTGATTAATAATATTTTCTTTATCTTTATTGAGAGGAAAGTAAATCGTTTTTCGAGTAGAATGAATTGAGGCTATTGTACTTGAGAACAAATATTTGTCTATCTATAAGTAGGACTCTACTACTCTTGGCTTACCAGAAATATGATAGTTCCTGAATAAGAGAGAATGCACTGTAACAAAATCAATTTTCCTTGGAATTGTTTTTTAATAATTTTGAATGCCCGTTAATTTTGAAAGAATAAAACTAAGGTTCTGTGAAAAATTAACGATTAAACAAGAAATAAATTAATAAGATCTAATGTTTGATAAGGACATGATATTTCTGAAAAAATTAGTCATCCTACTCTTAAATTATAAGAAACACATGTAAATAATATAGACAATTAGATATTGTTGCAATATGAATTTATTTTTTAATTCAACCGTGACTAAATATTTTAATTATTAAAAGATAAGGGCTGATATGAAAGCTCAATACAATGACTGCCGGTCCATAATCGTAGTTTCCCTATTTCCTAGGTTAAAATTTATTTACGTAGAACTTTCCGTTTCTTGTTTTGGTTCATTTAACACTTGCAAAAATGTCCACATGGAAAATTGCATGCAGAAAATATTTGTAGGGATGTTTTGCATGTAGTATAGAACCAAAAATAAAGAGAATGCAAAAAAAAAATGGTTAAGTCTATGATAAACAATAATTATATGTAAATACTGGTCGTCTATATGATATTAAATAATTTATAAAGTATTTAAGTATTTGTTATTAATAAATTAATTATTAGTCTCTTATTACTTGGACTATATGTGAAGGTTCAACTAGGAGGAAATAATATGTATTAGCATGCAATTTCACTATCCAAATATGGCATATTTCTTGGAATGGGTCTGCTATTTGAATTAGGATTACCAGTAGAAACCCCCATTGGTAAACTGTTATTGTTTGTCCCAATAGCCGGATTAATAGGTATAGAACCAGCTACAAGGTTAGAATTAAGATTATTTATAGACCCGGGAAGTCTATTGGTTGATTTAGGAAGGTCGCTTATTGAACTGTGATGGATACTGACACTGTTGGAGTTCGAGGAAATACTAACCGAGATTCCTTGTGAATTGTTACCATTGTTACTATTACCAAAAGGATCAAAGTTGCCTTCAGTGCAAAGCTCATCAATAATATCGCACATGAAGGCGGTTTTCCTAAAGTATGAACTTATCATAAATTGGTTGTTTCCACCGCAGTTACTGGCAAGATCAAGTTTGTCTGGATCAGTGAACTGAGGTTCAAAATTGTCTTGAAAAAGTGAATGACGATCAAACCAGATTCTTCCTCCTCTTCCTCGTCTACGAACAAGCCTATGAGGTTTACATGGAGTTCTCAGACTTTGTAAAGGTTCTAATCTAGCAAGGTCAACCCCGTTCTTATATATAGATTGAATATAGTTTGGAAGAGCAATTCTGCAGAAAGCAGGTGAAAGGGTAGATTGTGTTTGCTGTTCCTGATTCTGCTGTTGATATTCTCCATCTAACTTTCCAAACTCAATGTCAGAAGAAGAGTGGCCAGGTGTCTGAGCTAAAGTAGTATCTTTGCCGCCATCACTCATATCCGTGCTTTCCTTGTTTTTAATAGCTTCCACAGGATCTCGTTTGCCAACACAAGTTTTGAAGATATTAAAAATAGAAGAGTTAGGTTGTAAAGATCCATAATAATAATAGGAAAGGAGTGAAGTTTCATTCTCCCAAGAATATTTAAGAAGCATGTCTAGGCTTCCAATGTCAGAGGACAACTTCTTAATGAACATATTTAAGTCTCCCGAGATTAAACCAGGTGAGAAATCCATACCTTGAGCAAACAACGGAGAACTCGTTCCGAAACGTGTAGAAACTCCACTTGTAAAAAGTTGAGCAATACAACCACCAACCCCCACTCCTAGATTGAACTGGGAAATACCCCTCATCTCCTTCTTTTGTTGCCTCTTCTGTTGCTTATAGTTTTTCAGCCTGTCCCAAATTGGGCACCTGTAAAATGGATCAGTAACCTCATGCCGCTTTTGGTCGAAAATACAGGTGTCAAGTTCTGCAAGTAGAAGCTTTTTTTCATCCCTCTGTCTGAGCTTCCTAAAGCTTTTCTCGACCTTGCGAAAATCGTCCAAAAGCTTCTCCAACTTCTCCAAAGTCTCCTTGTTATTTCGCCTTGGGCGCCTCAAAGTCATTTTTTCCCTAACACGAGGCCTGAAACAGGCATATGGAGAAGAATCATGGGGGGAAGTAATTGGCCAGAAATGACGTAATAATGGCTTTCCCAACTTGTGACGGCGCATCCTCCAATACTTATAAACCAGTAATGCCTGTTGGTTTTTGATTGATGATAATCCTCTTTCTCTGCATATCTGAAAGGCCTCATCAAAACTTATCTCACTTCCTCTGCCGGTGCTTTTCTCCATAAAGTCAATCATTTTAATGAAGTCCAACTCGGAAACTCCAGTTTTCATATGCTCAGACAAATTCTGCAAAAACTCTTCGTCAGCTTTAACCATGTTGTAATGCACCACAGTTCCATCCTCTAAGCGAATCCCAGAGACAAATTCTTTGTGGACTGGAAATCTTATATAATGTTCGGGCCTCTGAAATGGTATCAGTTTTGGAGCATTTAATGGGCAAACTTCCACAGGAGGGACCAAAATCGATGAGTTTGCTCCCCCTGATGAAGAACTTCCAGACGATCCTCCCAACCCACCTACACCCGAATTACCGCCAGATGACGTGGCAGGGCCTGCATGAGAGTTCAAATTGGAGTTGTCCTTATCTTTAGAAGTTGAGGCTGATGTAGATGTTGAAGATTCATTTCCCGCTGAATGTTTTTGTCCTGACTTTTCCTTCTCTTTCGCCTTCATTTGATTGATCACCTCTTGAAGCCGTAGCTTTTCTTCGTCAATTAAGTTACGGATTTCATCAGGCTCAAGCTTATCATTGTTTTCTTCCAAGGCCTTTTCTAATTGATTGATGGAGAAAACTACCTGGAGTTTTTTCTGTGGGTCCAGTGTCTTAGGCCTTGCATTTCGAGTTAAAGTTGTTGACATGCTTTTGGTTTTTGCTCCTCCCCCTTGTTTAAACAATCAAAAGTGGGGGAGTAACCAATACTCAAATTAAGTACTTTTACACCAATTACTTAAACAAAACTTAAATAACACTTCTTTCGATTGTTTTCACTATATTAATCTTACTATCCGATCTTATTATAATACTAAGATTAAAACAGGATTTTCTTTTTATTTTATACTTATATCCACTTAATTCTTGACCCATTAAATCCTACTTGTAATACTGAATCAAATCCCACAGTTTTTATTCTCACTAATAATTTCCTTAAGAACCTGCTTCACTCTCAAACCTTCTTTTAACTCCTCCTTTTCCCTTTTTATACTTGCAACATAAATTACTATCAGACATCCATTTCTTGAAACCTCCTCCTCAGTCCCTTTGCCGCCACCACTCACCTCTTCAAGCCTTTAGTTGAAATATTGATTTAAAAGCTCCCTTACTGAGCCTCTTTCTTTATCTTTTTCCTATCCTTTTCCTCGCCCTTTTTTCTTTTTCCTTATTTTTTCCCCCAATTTTCATACCCGGTACCCCGATTTTATTCTGGAGACGGATTCTATTGATTTTACCCGCCCAATTATATATTAATAATACTTGCAAAAAAACCCTTTTTCCCACATTTAATTAAAAATCAGATAAATTATTCAAAAATTCGGTATCTTACAAATGGGTGTGCAAATCAAACTTATTTGTTACTCTTGTTCTCTCTAATTAATGCAGCCTCGTTAAATCCTAAATATTTTAGCAAGAGGTTGATCTACCTACTTTTTCTAAGCTTTAGACATGTTCTTATATTCCCCACACTTTTGGATAAACCATTAAGCAGCTTTGATTTGTTTTAATTTAGAAATCTTGGTTATATAAACAAGACCTTAATAAAGGGAATTTCAGAAAAGAACTATCTTTTGTGGCTTTACAAATCATATTAATAGGTTTAGATTTGCCTAACAAAAATTACTTCCTTACAAAAACGGATGAATATTTAAAGAATTAAATCAACAAGTTAATTGATGTATGGATAAATAATTAGGAAATTAACAAAATAAGACAAATTGGAAATATTCTGTTTTAGTATTCTTTTCTTCAATCAGTTAATTACTAACCTAATATACTTACAATTTATTCTTACAGAAATAGAACCTTTGTTGATTTCTAAATCTACTCCGTTGTTCACTTCAACTTTCATCAGCTAACTCCAAGCCAATTAACTCACTGTCAATTCTAGAGAATAGTTATCGGCTATTAATGAAACACTGATTGCTCTCTTGTTTTTGTTATAAATGTTTAGATAACAATAAGGATTCATTTACTTTATGTTCAAAGTAGAGTACATCACAAAAAAAGAAACTCTATTATCATTACTACTTACACATTAATTTTGAACCTTATTTCTAATCATTTCTTTCGTACTAGACTCAAAAACTATCTCAAAATTGGCCATACCAATTTACTTTATCCCAATAAGCTTTTATATAAATAAAATAAGTCCAGTTAACTGAAGCTCATTTTGATCAGTTAAATAATTAACTACACTTAAATCCTCCTATTAATATCCAAAACAATCTAAGGAACTTGCATTGTTTCTACCTTCACTTTTTCCTCCCATCAATTTTTTATCCACTTAATTAACATGTTTATATGTGAAATTGGCGCCAATTTGTATGTGCTTTTTTTTCCTAATTACTAATAAATAGAAATTGAAGAATTATTATTTTTCTCGGAAATAAAAATATTTTAAAACAAACACAGGACTTTAAACTTTTTTGTTTATTTTATATTATCCTGAAACCACCCGATTACTTAAAAAGAAAATAATGGATCAAAGTATCAATTTAAACCCTCAATTTGACCAAATTGGTAAACAATTTGTACAACACTATTACCAAACCTTTCAAACAAACAGACCTGCTCTTGGAGGATTATATGGCCCCCAATCAATGCTAACATGGGAAGATACCCAGTTTCAGGGCCAAGCCAACATTGTTAACAAGTTGAACTCTCTTAGTTTTCAGAGGGTCCAATTTGAAATTACTCGTGCAGACTGCCAGCCTTCTCCAAATAATGGATCAATTGTCTTTGTTACTGGAGATGTTAGAATTGACGATGGACAGCCTTTAAAGTTTTCACAAGTTTTCAATCTTGTACCTTCTGGAAACGGTGGGTTCATAATATTTAACGATTTATTCAGACTAAATCTTGGTTAAATAAACATTCATTTTTACATAGTTTATTAATATGAAGGTTCCTTTCATTTAAAAACCCTTAATATTAAAAAAGATATTAACTCAACCTTCAGTTTAATATTAAGAATTTCATTTGACTTAAACTAACATTAAGAACAAAAATATAGATTTTATAGAAAGGAAATCAAAGAAAAACAATTCAATCTCAACCAGAGTTCTTTTCTTCATTAATTTATCTCTATTTACCCATATCTTATCATTGACATTAATACATCTAAATAGTAACATCAATCATTTCCCATAGCAAAAAGAGAGTTAATAATAATATTAAATACATAATATCTTCTAGATTGAACGATTAGTATTATTGTTATTATTATTATTGACTAAGTATTCACTTCTTGGATCCCTTATGTATTTATTTTTCTAATAAATCTCTTCTTAACAACATAGTTTCGGAAGATAATAGTAGTAATAAATCAAATTCAAATTTCACCTGTATCATTTAAACAAACACTCTTATTACTACTGTTATTTGTGACGGTAGTGGTATTATTTTGATATAAATTAATGTTCTGGCATGAGTCGAGAATTAGATCGTTTGATAATTGTGGTTCTGCCGATGTACCGCAACTAGTTGTTGATAATGGTAATAATATACTTTCAACAATAGACTTTCCTGAAACATCACTATGTGGTTGTTCTTTGTATGGTTGAAAAGAATATGGGCCAAGAGAACCAACAGGCAATAAATGGCTACTTTTATTTAAGAAAGTATCTTCTATTTCGGAATAACAAGAACCTAACCCTTCAAACCATGAAGAATATGGAGTGTTAAAATCACCAAAATCATTTTGTGATACATTTGAAATACAATTATTGCAAGATGAATAACTTGAATTAACATGATTGGGATGATTGCAACCTAAATTTGTGTTGTTATTTCCACTATTGTTGTTATTGCCATTATTATTACTATTATTGCCATTATTGTTACAGTTAGTATAGCTAGACTTGTTGATACCGTTATTACCTGATTTATTAGAATTGGCGACGATTCCTCCATCGTTTTCAAACATATTGCCATTACCATAATATCTACCACTATTATTAACATTTAAACCAGATGAATGGTTTTGGGAATTTCCTGATCTCATGTCTGGTGTCAAAATTGCATCATAATTGTCAATATTTGAATAAGGAGTAGATTGAAAAACTTTGCCCAAAGGAGAAGATGATGCAATTGATGGATGTAATAAATCATCATCTAAATTCTGATTTCCTGAATGGCGTTGATAATTAACGTATTTTGGAGTTCTGATATTCATCAAATCATTGACATTACTCTGATCATTATAATCATAGATGAATGGGTGAATACTATTGTTATTTGAATTACTAACATTATTTGTTGAAACAGTTGATTTGCTTGATTGGGAACATGAATAATGATGGAAAGAATTGTGTCCAATCATATGGTTTTGGCCATTATTACAATGAACATGATTCATATTATTATCCATTTGATTTGATATTGCTGAATTCTGTTCATCATTAACTTTTGAGTTACTATTTCCATTAGAAGGATTGTTTGGTAAATTATTACCATTATTGCTATTATTATAATAGCACTCACAACAGTATCCGGTCATTCCACTCATTTCAATGTTAGTTTGTGATGATTGAGAATTAAAGTATGTATGTTCACCATATAAATTTGAAGACTTGCTAGCTTTTGTGGAAGGTGCTCTCATCGAAGCCGAGTATTCACAATTAGCTTTTCTCTTTTGGTTTACTCCATTTGATTTTGAAGTAGTGATTGCATGTGCTATTACTGCCGCTGCTGCTGCATTCCATTGTTCACTTGAATTTTCTAAGCCAAATAGATTTTGATTGACATTAGCAACTTTTCCACCATCAAATCCGGGTAATAATTCACCATTAATATTGCTCAGCTCAGAATTACCCAAGCCAGACCCATATTCAAACCCATTATATGGAATGTTATTATTCCAGTTTGATCCATTATGTTTGCCTCCACACTTATTATTAATATCCATTTCTAATACGCTGGTTGATGAATGATGCATATCATTCAGCTTCTCATTCATCTTTTTAATATTTATACTAGCTGAGTTCTCTCCTTTATTTGAGTTTCCATTGGGTCTGTATAAACTTAACTTTGCTTTTTGTTCTCTCAAATATTCAATAGCAGCTTGTAATGCTTGTTCTAAACCACCATAATGACGTGGGTTAAAACTCTTTGTCACACGCTTTCCTGGTTCCGGTGCATAACATATTCTCCAAGTTCTCCTCTCACTACACCAAGTAACTCCAGGATGGCCTGACTGAGGATGAAAGTTTGTCCCTCCGGTGCTTGGCATTTCTAAAAAAACAATTATTTAATTAAAGTGAACTTTAAACTTTAAGTTTCCTTGGTTCTCAAACTATATTCAATAGAATCCTTCAATAAATAAAACAACTATATACGATTATTCTTCAAGACCTTTGGGTTTTGCTTTAATTATTTTGACCAATAATTGTCTAATATTTATTATACCAATATTCTTTTACAGTAAATTATCTAATTCTCTCAGTATACAAATATTAAAATTTTGTTCTTCAGTAATCTAATCCCAAGCTCTAATTTTAGTTTCAACAAAAGCTTTGTTTGTTACAAACTCTTTTCTCACACACACTACTGTTACAATTTTCTTTGTCTTTCTATAACAAGAGCATAGCCTCTTTTTCTACTCTCCCAGCTTTTTCTTTTAAAGTTAGAACTTCCCAATCCTCACAAGTCTTCTTCCTCTAATAGTTGAAATCAAAAGACAGAAATCCTCTATTTGTCGACATTACGCTGAATGCAATTTTCTATGCAATTGGCGTCTTGTCGGAAGATCCAGACTTGTCATGTCTTCATGTATTTTTTTTTGGTTGTCAAAACCTTTTGCTTTGGCTGAATCTATGCGTACAAAAGATCCCAAAAATTTTATAATTTGTTTTAACTGATTTTTGACCTGTTGATTTTGTTTTTGAATTTCTTTTTTCTTTTCCTTTTTTTACTTTTAATAATAACTGTTAATTTTCCCACAAATGACCACTAGTTGACATGAAATATTTCCCGCCACTTTTCATGCATGTAATGATTATTGTTATTAAGGTTTCCACATGAAAAATATTGATCAGAACGTCATAACATAAATTTAATGCATGCAAAAATGACTAGTTTTAATTCTGGAGAGAATTCGACAAAATTTTTGAAATACCATATTTTTTACTGAAAAATCCATGTTTTTTCTTCATAATAAATTTGACCTCTAAAAGTAGTACCTGAATACTTGAATTTTTTGAATGAAACCGTCAATAACCTACTATATCTGAAGAGGAGAGAATTTCTTACTCAAAATAGAAAGAATAGAATTGATTTTTTGAAATAGAATAAAAATGTCTAGGTTCTAATAACTAACTATAAGTAGATATTGTAGAATTGAATAATTCAATAGTATTTTTACTGAAGAGATGAAAGAAGCACGAATTAATGGATCTTGAGATTGGCAGATAATGTCGTAAAATTCATCAACTACAAAGAACTTAGAACAGATAATCTTGTCATTCAAAGAAAGGTTGTGTTTGTTTAGAATACCATCAATAGAAGTTCTGAGATTTTTAACCATTTCTTCCCATTTACCTGAAGAATCTATTTTAGTTTCTTTTAGTTCAAATAATACTGCTATTGTTTGACTATTTGAAAAAGATCTCAATTCATAGTTCCAGAAATTAGAATTCGAATTCGAAATTTCCACATGATAATCTTTGTAATCATTCATAATTAGTGAAACTGGGACTAATTTACACTTTGTATTGAGAGGCAAATAGTCAACATAAATTGGAATGACTATTGGATCTATTGAAGAATATTTTGAGGTTTCAATAAATTTGTGGATATCTGACCATTTATTGGGAGCATAGTTTTTATTATAATTGTATTCATTTACTAAAGATTTAAAGTAATCAACAAATTCCGATAAAGATATCACTTCTCTAATAGATAACTCAATTATCCATATATGGGTAATGTTAAAAACATCAAATCTATAATCCACTTCATTTTTAAAACTTAATAAATGAGAATTATATATTGAAGAGTTTAAATTGCATCGGAAAGATCTTAGTGAGAGAGAAAGCTCAATACATAATTGATCATGAAAATCCCTGAAACCATTTGAATTTACCATATTTAAGAAACTCTTAATTTGATCACAATTTGGAGTGTCACCAGAATGGGGAATAAACCCATAAACACTTGAAGAAAGTAAAATGGGATTATCTACAATTAATCCTGATTTGTATTGGAAGTCCCCTAATAGATTGAAAGGCTTTTTATTTGAAACTATAATACTATTTGAAAAAGATCTGGGAATAGAAGTTCCATAAGAGGAAATGGATGACGAGCATGATTCTTTAATCAAACATTTTTCACTATCTATTGAGTTTTTAATAATAACAATATGAAACTTTGAATTATTTACCATTTTACTTGTAGTAAAGCTAATATTAACAGCAGGTTTCCACTTTACCCCAAAACTTTCTAAGTTAATCATATCCCAAAATTGAGATAATTCAAAAATTCCTAAAACATCTTCGGTTTTAAATAATCGAATGAGTGCTTCAAAAAATACTGCTTTACTTGAAATAAACCAATCTTTAAAGCTTAGGTTTTCAGAAATAAATTTTGAAACTTTTTTTGAGCAAGAAGAAATATTCAAAGAATTAAAGTTTAAGTCTATAGTAATCATATAAGTTTTTTCTGTTTCAAAAACTTTCACTTCAAATGATTCATTTGAATCATTCAAATTACTATTTTGTATTTCAATTTCATCACCTTTCATTTCAGCTTCAATTCTTTTAATAGATCCAAAGTAATTTAATTTGTATCTCCCTGTATCATAGAGATAGTAAAACAAACTGTAATTTGGGTCAAAAAATGGCAAAACTGTTTTGATTTCTTCATCATTGCATTTCTCCTTTCTTATCAATTTGTATTCCGTTGGTTTCAAAACATAAACTGGAGCATAAGGATTTGAGTCTAAACAAATGCTTTTAAAATTAGAAATTGAAATGTAATTGTTCTTGAACAAGTGGTTCGGGCCATCTAAAGTTAGTGATTCATATTCACCTCCTTCACCACAACAATGAAAATCACTACATATTTTACTTTGAATATATTCAAAATCACCCAGACATTCAGAAACCATCCTACCCAAAAAACTCTCATTTAATCCAAATGACGCAACTTTCACTATCATACTTCTCAGCCCACCTTCTACTATAGAATTTAATAATGCATGTTCTGGTATCATCCACATAAAGCAATAACATTGTAATTTTAGTCGATGGCATACTTCTTCAAGTCGGTTCCTTTGGTAATTTGACATTACTGCTCCGCAACTTACTCCTTGAATATCTGGGAAGCTTTCCTTCACATTTTTTAGAAGCATAAATAAGTCTTCTACCTCATCTCCTTGAGTAGTTGTGTAGTTAATTTCCTGGTTAATTGCCTTCCCTGAGATATTTCTACGAACCAATGGGACTTCCATACACTCTGAAATGAGTGGAATCAATTCTTTTCCTATGCTTTGATACATATAACTATCGATTTCAACCATATTATCAGGAGGTGATAAATTTGCCAAAGCAGAAATTTCAAGCCCAAAAGATTTACAGCATAATAAATTAAAAATACTATCTTTCCCCCCGGAAATCAGTCCAACTAATTTCATTTTTCTCGCATTACCTTTCAATTAATCTCCATTAAATATTTAAAAATTACTAAATGATCACGAAGTAATCTAAAGACTATTAGTCTCCCGCCAAATATTGAAATTTAATTAATGCATTTTTTTTTAATATAAAGAAGCTGAAAAAAGTTTATTCTTACAGAAGAGAAATTGATATAAATATAGAGATAATTATTGGAGAAAGAACACACTAGAAACATCTTATTAAAACTTTTCTAATGAATGCCAAGCAGATCTAAATTTAAAACAAGTTTTAAATTTGCCAAGATATTGTTAGGGGCATACCTATTTCAAAAATATGGGTTTAGTATATGTATTACAGATGGTCCTTCAATGATCCCAACAATTGGGCCAAAGAGAGAACTTTTGTTGTATGAAAAGCTCACTATTTCTTTCTCCAGAATTTTTAGACTGAATGGGAAAATACCCATTTACAGAAATGATATAGTAATTGCAAATTCTGTGGAAGATCCGGAAATATTAGTCTGTAAGAGAGTAATTGGCAAAGTAAGTTAATAATTAACATCAAATACTTAATTTATCATTTTTGTTTTTATGAAATTGGAAACTATCATTAGGAGGGTGATGTAGTAACAGTCTTTCCAAACTATACACTGGTATCTAAACTTAATGACTACAACATTCAAGACTTAGTTCCGAAAAAAACTACTTGTTTTCAAATGAAAATACCCCCAAATTATTTTTGGATTCAAGGGGATAATTTTAAAAACTCTAGAGATTCCAGAAATTACGGGCCTATTCACGAATCTATGATAATAGGAAGAGTAGTATTTAAGGTAAGTTACTTTGAATTATTCGAATTTTGAAAAAGTGAATACAATACAATTATGATATTATATATTTACATAAATATTTATTTCAATTTCTCTATTCTTAATTTTGCTATTATTCACTAATTTTTTGTCTTAGTTATGGCCAAATCCGATTTTTTCAAGATTATCTACAATAATAAGAAAGAAAATGGAGCAGCTTAATGTTTTAGAAAACCATTAGTTAGTTATAATACAATTTAATTATAATTCAGTTTATATTTCTTCCCAAGTCAACTCAAAACCACAAGTTTTGCATGTCTTTTTAAAAAAACCACTTTCTCCAATAATTTTTGTTTTCGAGTCAAAGTCGTGTTCATGGAAACTTTCTTGTTTCAATAATCTCTTTTTATTTTCATTTTCAAGCCTTAACTTCTTTTGTTCTCTTTTCTTTTGCTCTTTCTCACTAATTTCACTTGCTATTCCAAGTCTCTTATTTATCTTTTTCTGAAATTTTCTGTCTTCAGTATTAGTGGACTCTGCAAGTGCTTGTTCTATGCTTCCATATTTTTTTATTGCAGCTTCTTCCACCTGAAATTTGTAGTATAACTTCATAAAACTATTCCTTCCATAAGATGTTGGTTTTTTCACTATTGCAAATCCCTCTCCACTTAAATCTTGAGCAGTTAGTGCATAATGCTTCATTGCATTTGTCTGGGTCATTTTACTATATTCGTCATCCTTTCCTTGAAAAAAACACCTTCTACAAACATAAATACCTACACTTTTCAAAGACTCCTCAACTGCTACAGAAAGATTATTCCCTAGTTCGCATCCACAACTCCTACATGAGTGAGACATCTTCCACAATTTTTATTGACTAATTTTTTTTAACCTATAATACATTTGGCGGTAAAATTCTTACATGCATGTTAATCCATTTATAATAAACACGAAGCTTGGTTGAATTAAATCAGCAAAAGTTCTGCCTATCACTAAAAATTTGTTTCTTGAATTCTAAAAATATCATCATTTTGTTGAGCTTAATTAACTATCTATCTTGAAATTTTTATATTGAAGTTAGTTATTAGTAGCAAATAAAGGTGTGGAATAATAATTAAAATAACTAGTTATTTGATTTAGGAAAATTACTATCTAAATAATATAAATATAAAAATTAACTAGTTTACGAATGTTTATTCTTCTATTAGAATTCACCTTGTGCAAACAAAGTAAATAGAATTATTGATAAATGCATGTTGAGAAATTATGGTCTTTAAGATTCTAAAATATAATATAACATTAATTTTATTAATTATATTCAGAGCAAAATCCAATCTTCAAAATCATCTTAAAAATGATCATTTAATCACTATTAACACTAATTTGCGTAATGAAATTTCGGTTTTTGAAATAATAAAGATTGAGAATCAAAGATTTACACCAAAATATGTTAATGTAGATTTTTACTGGGATAAATACCAAGTAAGTGATATATATAAGGAAGTATGTTACTTTTATAAATTTCAAAATACTCAAAAAATCTCAGAAAACAAATTAAAAAATGAGTATTCATGTTCAATGAAAAGAATGAATTTATTTCAAGCAGCTTTCTCAAAAGACCCAATTAATTTAAAAGAAATTAACGGTGAAATGTTGAAACTAAGTAAAAGATTACTTATATTTTTTGATTATGAGTATGATCCATCTCGTCCAAATCACAGTTCAAATAATGACATAGATATATGGAGAGATACTCACTATAATAAATTGAAATTGACTAACTTAATAGTACCAGGAAAAGGTTCCAGTAGACTTTATATTAAGACTGAAACTGATTCAGCATTTGTTGGAAACTACTTTGGACATTTAAAAATTAAATATGAAGATAAAGTTGAATTAAAGAGGGTAAAATTGTCAATTGGCCCACCTCCTTTAAATGTTTTTATAACAAAAGAAACACAAACGCTGGAATCTGATGATAAAATAATAATTATTGACCTTAAGTTAAGGAACCACCTCATTTTCAGAAATTTGAATATTTTTGTTAAACCAATGCTTAAAGGTTTGGAAGAAAATTTATGTTCAATCAGGAACAAATTTCTGGTAAAATCTCAAATAATTGAAATTAAGCCAGGGGAGCTTGAGAATATTCAAGTTAAATGTATTATGGGAAGATTGAGGCCAGAATCTATTAAAGAACTTTTAATAATACAAATTAATAGTTTTTGGAAGAATTCCAGTAGATATACAACAACTTACACATATAATGAAATGTTGAAGCAAGAAGAAAAATTCAATAGAGGATTATTTTTATCCGATTTTATTTTAGATGATCCAATTTCTGAAGAATATTTTAATTTTAATATGATTCTATACCAAAGAGATTTAATGAAACACTTGAAAGACAATAATAAAGAAAGCATAAGTTTTGAAGATTCATTTAAGGAAGACTTTCACCCGTTTCAATATTGGATAACTCTGGATTTACTTCAAATATCTGAGGAAATATTAAGCTTAAAAGATATTAAAATTTTAATTAAAATTGATAATTCACCATCAGAATTTCTTCGTGTTACTTTTTATGACAAAAATATAGAGAAAGCTTATGAACTAGATTCGGTTACTCAAACCAATTCTTTATTGTTCTTTAAAATTAATTTGGAATTTAGTCCAAAGACTTGGGTTAATAACATTTTTCTTTCAAAGGAAAATGGAAAATTACAAATTCCCATAAAAGTATTATTATTTGAGAAAAACAAAAACATTTATGAAGAAAGAAATTTTTTAGAGAAAACTTGGATCTTCAATTTAGATATAGAGAGTAAATTTGAAGAATACATAATTAGAAACAACATTATAAAAAACAAAAATGGACAATTTAGGTTGATTGTTAACAACTTGGATCAAAATATAAATATGAATATGTTGAGTATCAAAAATTCGGACAAAAAATCTGAAAAAACAGAAATAAGGCTTTTAAAATCTAAAAACAAAAGTTTTATTTTAATTTCAAAAGTATTGGCTTTAAAAATTAGAAAATATGAAGTTGTTAATTTAATGTTGAACTTCAAGGGATTAATAGATAGAAAAATATTAGAGCTAAAACAAGCAAAATCAGCCAAAAGTAATTCAATCGAAGATCTACCATATTTTCTAGAGTTAGGAAATAATAAAAGGCTTCAATTAGCTACCTTAGCTAATTGTGGAATAGTTGAAATGAGTAAAAATGAGGTAGATTTTGGTATAGTTCCAGTAAGTTTATTTGGAAATCCAAAGTTAATACAGAAAATAGAGGTTAAAATAAAGAGATTCAAAACAAAAACAAAATGCAGTAAAAAATTCTCAGTTGGATTCAGACTTTCAAGTAACTTCAATCTAAAATTAATACGGAAAAACAATCCATATCCATCAAGTAACACTGTATACACAAAAATCGTGGGTAAAGATACGAAATTGGTTAAAGAATATATTTACGATTTTCTTATTGAAGATTCAGAAGTATTTTTGATTTTTATTGAACCTAACTTCGACATTTCAATTAACGTGGAACACAAGAAAAGTGCAAACATCTCAACACTACTTGAAGTTTACACTCCCTTAACCATGAGGAGAGAACTCAAGTACGAACAAATAGATATTTGGAGGGATTCGATGCTTGAAAACGAATTTCTAAAACGGAATTTATTTTTCACTGAATTCATTAAAATTGCATGCATTATTAGAAGTTTGCACATTTCGGCGGGCTCCCCACATATCCGAAGTGCACTACATAGTGAAATTATGTCACAAGAACTTGTCAAAAATGGTAAGCTACCGATAAGTTTGTTTTTAATAGAAGTAAAAAATGAGGAGGAGTTTCCGGTCCAGTATTCATTACAACGAGATGTCAGTCTATGGAATAAGCAAGAAAAGAGTACTAAAGAATATTTTACGGAGAATTATACCTTTTATATTTCCTATGATAGTGATGGAAAAAACAAGTTGAAAAAAAGAATAAATGAGTTTGAAAAACAGTTTTCTGTTTTTGAGAACAAAACATTTTTCGAAAATGTCAGTGAAAGGACCGAGTTATTTGATAATTTAGCATTCAATTTCCCTTTTAAAAATTTATATTTAATGAATGTAATCATGGTTCTGAGACTTGGGATGGTTTGTATCTACAATGGAGAAATTTTTTCACACAAAAATTCATTTTGTGTTAAGCTATTGCCTATTGAAATTGCAGAAAAGCTTGAAAATTTGAAAATTTCAATGGGGCATTTAAGATTGAATATTTGGCAAGTAACTATTAGATTTTCTTTAAATATTGGTGCTGATTTTGTGACAGGATTAAAATTATACGAAACCGGAAGAATAGATTGGTATTTTTATGGGCTTGATGGTTCTTTTGTAGATAATCCAGAAGTCTTTGAAAAGTTTATTCCTATTCTGGTTTCAAACATGGATCTGGAATCAGCATTTGTGCTAAGAGAAATTGTAGAATTTGAAAAGATTAAGAATTTAGTCAGAATTTCGACAGTTCCTTGGTTGGAGGTGTCTAATGAAGTTCCAAGAACTGGATATCTTCTCCCCAAGGAAAATCGATTAATATCAATTCTAGTTCACAACCAAATAATCACTTCAAGTTCAATTTATTCAAAGATAAAGGAGTTAAAATGTAGTTATAATTTGGTCTTTAAGGGAATAACTGATATTGGAGAAACACTAGATGGTTCTGATGACTCATTTTCGAGGATGCTATTGGAAAATGACCAGGAGCTGAGGCAGGAAAGTATTGGAATGAAATCACTATTTTCATTAGATTGGACAATCCCAAATGTAATCAATGATTTGGGATATGGAGGTGGCTTTGTTAAGAAAATCACTCTGATAAACCCACCAATATCTAAAATAGGAGAAGATCTCTCAGCATTGGAATATGTTCAATTTATTGTGGAAATACAAAATCCAATAATCTGTACAAAAAAAGAAAGCGGAACCTATCAAGATGAAAATGAAAATCAGTCCGATTTTTTTAGGACTGATGATACTGAGCAGGAATTCGAAGAATATGGTAGTGATGAAACTAATCAATTGAAAGATAAGTTTTGTACCCCATTCAATAATCTTGAAATTGTGAAAGGATTTAGAGTTATTTGGTACCCTTATAACAATTTTAGTCCAACAAATTACAAGAGTGTTGAAATTTTGATAGAAGATGTTCCAAAGTATGATTTCAAAACAAGTTCTTATAGCTTGAAAAGCAGTAAAGAAAAAGAATCGGAAGAGAGTTTGGAGGTTTCTCGAATATTTACCGACTATATTAAGGAATCAGGCTCTGAAGACTCAGACTATGCTTATTTACTTAAAATCAATTATAATTTTGTATTAAACCAGCAATATACATTCAAGTTTGCTATCACCCACCATAAAAATATCAAAAATAGTGTATTCATCCCTCCTTTTGGTTTCAATATTACAGCTCAGAATCATTCAATTAGATGGTTGAGATCCTTAAGTTCCATAGAAAGTGATATTTCCCAAACTTTGTTAATTAAGAACTTTGCAAAAAAGATATGTAAGGGTGATATCAACATTTTGTCAGATAATTCACTGGTTTTAAAATGGGATAAAGAATTTCTGAATATTATCAGTACTTTTTCAGTAAGTTATTTTGAAGTGGATATAATTGACCAGATGGAAGAAGAGTGGCAAGTAAAAGAACTTATGTCAGACTTAATAACTGAGGAAAAAACCACCCATTCAACTAATAAGAAATTAATATTTATTACAAATCCCCAGAAAACTCAAGAAGGTATTTCAAAGTTTTTTTCTGAAGATATTAATAATGAAACTAGGTTATTTATTAAAATACCTGGTCTTCCATCCAGCCTGAAACTAAAAATTGTGGTCGAAATTGAGGATTATAACTCCGAAAAATTCCAATGTATTTCAAAGGCCTTCCAAACTAAAGACGGAGTTCCAACAGAACCAAAGGACTTTCAATTCATTCCACTGACCATCAATTCTGTTAAGTTGAGTTGGGATATTCCCAAGTCCGAAGGAGGGTCTCAAATTCTTGATTACTTAATCAATTTATCCCCAGAATTGGTTAATAGTCCAAATGAATACAAAATTGGGAACATTACTATTATTAGTGATAAATTAATGGTTATTTTAGATCAGATTTTTCCTATGGTAACATATAAGGCAACAGTTCAGGCAAGAAATAAATTTGGACTTGGAAGGCCCTCTACCATTAATCATGTAACACCTAGAAGTATTAATTCTTGTATTAATATTGATAATTATAAATTAATAATAAATGAAAGCTCAAAACGCCAAATAAGCTGGAAAGCTGAGAATTTTGAAAAAATTGATTTAAAAACTGTATTAGTTTATGTTTATTGCAATATTAGAGATGGAACTAAAAGTCAATTCTTCTTAATAGAATTACTGAAAGCTTTAAATGTATGTAGGATGGATGGAACCAAAGCATTTTGTACTTGGATAGAGGAGGAATGTATGGTAAACTTAAGATGTGATAGTTATTCAATAAAGATGATTAACAAGACAGATAAATCTGGTAATGAGGATTTTTTATGTATTAATGAATTAGGTACACAAAAACCTCGAAGATTAAAGGGAGATTTTAATAATGATATAACTTTAGACCATACGGTGAAAGTATATCATATAAGTTCAATGGACGAAATAAACAATATTGGAGTAAAAAGAGAAAAGATATACTATCCAAAAGGATATAACCCAGAATGGGAAAACGGATTAATTAAGACAATTATGAAAATAAACCTTTTAGGGCAAAACACCAGTCAAATTGAAATTGAAGTTAATTATCTTTATGAGACAGAAAACTTGGAGGAGATTATGTTAAACGGAACAGTAGGAAACGTTTGGTATAAAAAGTACTATTATGACTTAAAACAGGAAAAGGCAATTCAGAGTTTAGGTAATATGAAAAATTGGAGTATATTTGAAGAGGAGAATTACTTGGCAATAAATAATCATAAAATAGGTCAATTAGAACAGATTGAGTTAATGGTATTAAATTTGATTCCAGAGATGACAGTGATGATTTCAGTAAGAGAATTAGATCGAAGTAATACTGAGATTTCAGTCTCAAGGCATGTTTTAAGAATTCCTAACAAATTTAAGAAGATCGAATTGACAAATAGAAAGTTGTTGAGTTCAGGAATATTAAAAGTGGAATTAGATAATCACTTTGTTACTCAAAAAGAATTATCTGATAAAAAAAATCGTATAGGAAGTAATTGGAGGTATTTGAATGAGCGAGAAAAAGGTAGTAAAAACGAATTAAAATTAAATATGAATACTGACTTAGAGTCGATTGGAAGTGATTTATCAAACTCATTATTTATTTCAAGCAAATTGGTAATAGATGGTTGGCCTGAAGACTTTGAAAGGAGGCTATTCGAAGAAGTGGAGATAACAATCAATTCTGGTTACTTGAGATTTAATAATAATTCCAAGGAGATAAGTGGGCCTGTAAAGAATTACAAACCAATTTCTGAATTAAAGATTTATAACCAAAGTAAATCACAGGAGGAAATTTCTAATCTATTTGATGGAAATCCAGAAACAGGAATATACTTTTATAATAACAATTCTAGTGATCTTTTTACTTCAGGAATAGAGAATGTTATTAATGAGGAGTATTTCCCACACATCAGCTTGAGTTTTAATCCTCCGATTTGTATTTTGTATGCAAAGTTATATTGGGAAGGAAATAGATCTCCAGTATCCACAATGGTATCTGTTGGATTAAGATCTAAAAATGTCTCAAAACCAAGAATAAGAAATTATAACCCAATAGTTCATGAATGCTTTCATAGTCCAATTTATGGAAACAAAAGTTATACTCAAGAAAGAATTGACACCATTCAAATTATCCCCCCTGAAGAAATGGTAAATACATATCTCACAAACCCATCCAATAGGTATTCTTATACTCACAATTTCACTTTATCGTTTGCAGGCTCTTGTGCTGATTCAGGAATAAAAGAAACAAAAGATGAAGTAATACTATCAATCAAGGAAATTGAAATAATCCCATGTATTTCCAATGACTTGGTGCTTTCTTACTCAAACCCTCTATCTGAAACCAATATGTCTCTTGTTAATTCACAATATATTCTTAGGAAGTCTCAGCTAGAAGAAAAATATTTGGAAATACAAAATATTATTTTGGATAATCTAAGAAAAGAGACCAAAGGTGATAAAACTGACTTAAACTTAAGAAACATTTCAATTAAATATAAGAAACCTATTAATGAAACAAAGATATACTTAGATCTCAATACAATTCTATCAGAAGAATCTAAGTTGAGATCTACACATATTCCAAGCATTAGACTACTGATTCAGGATAATATTAAGGAAGAAGAATCTTTGAGAAGCCCTAAAAACCACAGAAGGTTGGCAGAACATCGCAATGTGTCAGAATTAAGCTTTATTGTTGGCTACATTTTACATTTATGGTTTAATCTAACAATAGTATTCTTTTGGAACCTAATCTATATATTTAAGAAGCTAAATTAGAAAAAAAAGACAACTGAGATCAGAAAAAGTAATTAAAGAGACTTTTACATATTTACCTATTTACTATATTGTCTCTAATTCTTCTTTTATTGTTATTCAAACTTTTGAAAAATGCATAATTGAAAATGTGTTGGCGGGAAAGTGGGTACTTCCAAAATAAATAAGAAGTTATTTAAGGCAGAAGAAGAAATTAAAACTCTTTTCTTCTTTAAAGGCGTAGAAAGAAGAAGATTTCTGTTGTGATGAATTATGAAAACAAATAGTTTTCATAATGAAGAGGGATTCTTTGGGTCTTTGGAAGAAATATGTGGTAATTTTGTGGGAGAGCTATATATGGAGGAGTTTACAGAGTCTGAAGAATCGGTTATAGGAGATGAAGATACCATTCATAGTGAAAAAGGATTGAAACAAAAAGGAACTGAGACTCCGAGGAGTAAGTCAATTTTAATTAAGCTCCCGAGTGATATTAACCAAGAAGAGGATGATGAAAAAGAAGAGTTGGTTTGTAAAGAAGAAAGTGAAGTAAAAACAGAGACATCTCAAGGTTTTAGTAAGAATATAACTAAGGGTAGAGGGGTTAGTGCAAATTCGAATGGAATTAGTTTGGAAGCGACAGAAACGGATGTGGAAGATGAATCAATTAAAGTAGTAATTCCTGAGAAATTGTTGGAACCAATGAGTAGGATTAGTTTGGATGAGTTGCAAGCAAGAACTTTGTTTTGGGGAGAAATGGATTTAAAAGAGGAGAATCTTGAAAATTTAGATTCATTTGATTCCAGGTACTCGGTATTGAATAGTTCGAGGTCGTTTTCAAACAATTTATTAAAGGTAACGATGGAGGATGGAGACAGTGACAATGACTCTGAACAAGATTTAGAGTACTTCCAAATGTCTGAGAGTGAGAAGTTGATGTTTAAGGTAAAATCCAAAATTAAAGTCGATCATTTTCTGGAAAAGGTATCTAACAAGATTTCCGTTTTCTTTTCGAATGGAAATGACTATGATGAATCTACTGAATTCTTTTTACATATTGATACAAAGGATCCTAGTTTTTCAAAGTATGCAGGAGGTCTTTCTAAGGAGCTTAAGGAGAGACTGGGTTTAGATAATTCATCAAAGGGCAATTTTGGGGTGGATTTACTAGCAGGTACTGATACATTAGTAAAGAATCAAGAAACCGCTACTTTTGGAGGAGGGAGCAAAGAGCATGAACAGAATAGAGCTGAATCTAATCAACCTTCTTCTGGAGCAGGGGGAAACAATAACATTACCACAGGTGGTGGTAGTAGCAAACCTTTGAGTAAGGCTCAGCAGGAACGTCAAAGACGGCAAAAGATGAAGAAGATAGACAAACAAAAACGATTAGAGCTTGCCATTTTGGGGATGAATCCATTGGATTACGAAGGTGGGATGAGAAATCCTGAATCAGGGTTAGATGAAAACCAGGATTTAATTGATATGAAGGATGGGGACGATGGAAAGGGAAAAGAGAGTCAAGGAGTGTCATCTTCCTCCTCTTATAATAGTGGGATAGCAGCTCTGGCTTCATCCATTTTGATGTCTAACAAACCTCAAGAGGACAGAATTTTTGGTTTAAAGCTTCGAGAAATGTCTTTGGGTGAGTCTTCTCTTTTTTCTATCCGTAATTTTCTTCATTTAGTTCCAAAGCTATTTGAAGGGAAATCATATGGTGAGGTTGATGATTTTTTTGAAGAAGTTAAAGCTGCAGTTAATTCTTCAGGATCCAAAAAGGGAAAATTAAAACAGCTATCAAAGAATAGGAATGAGTGGCAAAACCTATTGATAAAGTGGCTCACTTATGTCATTAAGTTTTCAGAAAGAAACGGAGTTTCAATTTATGAATCCTGGGCTATGAGTAATCGTCAATACCATGAAAGTAGGGTTTTGTTAAATAGTTTGGGAGGTAATTACGGAGGGGGTGAAGGAGTTGGTGGAGGGGACCATGCTGGAGGTAGTTCTTTGCTTCCAATTTCCTCTATACATACTCCCTTGGCTTGGTCTTTTTATTTGGTTAGTGGAAACATGACTCCAATAGACGGAGTTAGATTCCACAAATCTGATTTTAGGATGGGAATTTTTGAGTCATTTTCCTCGAGATCCAGTCAGATTTACACCTATTCTTCCGGTTGGTTTACCTCTTTGGTGAACTCTAAGACTGCAAAATCTGAGTTAGGGTTTGAGCCTTTTGGCCCCTGGCTGATTACCCCTTTGTTTCTTGGAGCCAAAGGGGGGGGATCACATGGACATTCTTCAACACCTCAGCTTCTTCACAGGTATTTCCAGAGACAGAGAGAGTTCAAAGATGTTCCTTCCAGTATCAATTCATCGATTTGCTTTGTTTCTCCAGATGACTTATCTTTAATCCATCAGACCCCTTTAGCTCTCTTTGAGTATTTGGAACAGTATCCACTCTTGTTAAATAACTTAGGAATGGCAGCAAGAATTCACAGATATGTAAGATGCGAGGATGACTCCAATCGAAAACAGATAGAAGATTTACTTTCTGAGTGTGGACCTTTGGGTTCTGTTCAAAAAGTCCAAGAAGAGAATAAGACAGGATCTTCATCTCAACCTGGGACTTTCCCTAAATTCTTTGGGGTGAATTATCCACTAGAGGAGAATGAATCAATGGCAGTTTTGGAAACTGGTTTATTTAAAGCTCCAATATATCACCATCCCAAGAAGCAAAGAAACTCTCAAGCTAATGAAAATACTAATATTGAGGATAACGAGTCTTCTTTTATTAAAGATGATGAGGATGATGATGACCGAGATCGTAACGGGAAAAGTATGTTTTCAACATACTTCTTACTAATTAGGAAGCAGATCCAGCAAGGGTCTCCCAAGTGTGGATTATATTTAAGGCCTTTATCTGGAGACAGTTTGACTTGTCTATATTCAGTTGGACAGGAAGAACCTTTAATTGAAGTGCCTTGTGTAGATAGTAAAAGCTTTTCCAATTTAAGACGAGACCAACTGAAAGCTCTTGTCTTAAGGTATGCAAAGGAGAATGGGAAAGACACTTTTAATGAGGCGAGAAAACTGAGCCAGAAGATGTTTAGAAACACTTTTGACCAAAATACTTTACAAAAGATTCTAATGTCTTGCAAAGAGACCAAGGAAAGCTCTGGAAGCGAATCTATTTCTGTAATTGGAGGGAACTCAGGAGTAGGAGTTAATACAATAAGCTCTAACAGTAGCCACTCCAATTTGGTTGGAGGAATTGGAGGAACTGGGGGAGGAGGTGGTGGAAGCAACAGTAGCCAGTCAAGTATTCAAGGAGGAGGTTCAGGAGGTGGAGGAATTCTGATTAAGCAGCTGAATGAATCAGAATTGAGGCAGATTATCAATCCTGAGTCACTTTGTGCTTTGGATAGCTCAGTTTCAGGTGATATGAGGCTAAAGCAGATAGGAGTAAGGTCTTTAAGGCATTTCTCAAAGATCCCCATAGTAGTAAGCGAACTGGATCAAATGGAAGAGATTGCCAAGCAATACGCAGAACAGGCCAGGAGGAAGACCAACAGCTTATTAGAGAGGAGCAAGAAGGAGACTCAAATTAACTATAATTTGGGTGGGTCTTGCAACTACTCATCTTTTTTGAGTTTAATCAATGAAGTAAGTACTGGACTGATCAACTCAAATGGTAGAAGACTTACTCCGGTGGCTCGATATATTGAAGAGTCTCTCTTATTATCACCTTGGAACATTACTCAAGAGTATGGACAAGTAATGAGACACCAGAATGGCCAATTTAGTATTGCAGGTATCGGAGATCCAAGTGGAGGAAGAGGAGAGGGGGTTAACTTTATAAGGAGGGGACTAATAGATTCTGCAATAGAGTCTAGAAGTCAAAAGTCTTTGGCAGGAAAGAGTGAAGATTTAAGGAAACTTTCAATGGATCAGCTAAGGCAGAGACTTCTACAATGTGGATTTGACGACGTAGCAATTATTCCTCTTCCAAGATGGGACAGAGTAGCTCTAGTCAGACATTTTGATACTAGTGGAGGTAATTCAAATGGGAAATCCGGAGTTGGATCCTCAAACAGTATGCTTCAGAATAAAGCCTTATCATCTGAGGAGTATCAGAGAGCCATAGTAAATGTACTTATTAATCAGAAGAATGCCTTGAGTCCAGATGATCCAGTAATGACAGATGATGATGAAGAGGGAGGTGGTGCAGGAGAGGAAGAAGGAAATTTAGAAGAGGAGATGGATTTGGACTTAGGGTTTGAAAATACAGCGAGCAAGTGCGAGGCAGAAGGCTCTGGAGGAGAATTGAAGTCTTCGCAAGATGTTGATATGGTTGAATCAATGATTATTGATAGCTCCAATTCTAGATCGGATTTGGGAACTTCTCAAGGGAATGAGTTAAGCCCTAATAATAATTCGGATGCCTCAAACTCTGAATCAGACGAGGATCTGGATTTGGAGGAGTCCTTCATTTCTTCGCTGGTTAAGTTCAACGATGATAAAAATGAAGTTAACCCAAAAAGCACTGGGAAATATGAAGGAGACAGTAATTATGATAATAGTAATATTTTGGGTACCGATTATTCTAATAATAAAGTTAAGCAGAAAAAGCAAAGCAAACTATATGACCAGTTATATGGTAATTCAAACGAAGATACCGGAAGAGATGAAGAAGATGAAAAGGATTTGGAGGAGTTTAGAAGGATGATTTCCAAGAGTACTCCTCAGGATGGTAAGGATCCGGACCTTGATTCTAATGGAGCTGAATGGAGAACTCAAAATTCGCAAGAGGATCCTTCCTCTTCGGCTCAGGAATATGTTCCAAGAATAGCTTGGATACGTGTAAGACGTAATATGAATACTTGGCAATATGAAGATGAGAAGGTTGTTTATATATATGGGGAGGAGAATATCCGGTATTTCCTTTATTGGAGAAGAATGAGAATGCAGCTTAAAAGAGAGGAAAGACGCCAGCTAAATCCTACTGGTGTTCCAGGAGTTTTGGGAAGAGCAAGCAGAACTTGCAGAAGATGTGGACAAGTCGGACATATAGCCTCGAATCCAATGTGTCCCTACTATGAAGGGAATAAAAGCAGCACAGGAACAAGTAGATACCAAAATGCAATTTCCCACTCTAAGAAGAAAAATATATTGCTTCCAAAAAGTCTTGATATTGGAGGAGGTATAAGTTCCTGCAAATTATCTGCTACTGAAGAAGAAAGTACAATTGCAAATCTTTTAGGGATGGGGTATTCACAAACAAATAATCATGATATTAAACAGTTAGTAACTTTAGACAATGTAGTTCAGTCAGTTAGAGTTGGGAAAAGAGGAAGGCCACCTTCGAATCCTGCCTCTAGCTCAAGAGGAGAAGCAGGAATAAGCAATTTGTCAATGAGTAATTCTCAACTCAGCTCATCAAATCTAGGAAACGTTGAAGACTCTGCTGAGATTCAATCTAACACACAAACAGGTATGGGAAGTGGCTCTTCAGTTCAATTCTCAAGACTTTCTGCAAGGCAAAGAAGAAAAATGATGGATAATGATGACAAAAGTTCAGTAGTTAGCTTTACTAGCACTGCTTTGAATGCTGGCTCTCAAGCAAGTAATTTAAATAATAATTTAAATCTTCTAAATGGAGGAGTTGGATTGGATATTCCCAATAATTTGGATGGATCCCATAATGTAATTAATGCAGGACCTAATATTAATTCTTACACTGAAGCTTTAGATGAATTTTGTATTGAACTTCAAAGAATTATCAATAGTACAAAAACTCTTCATCACTATTCCCACGTTTTTTGGAATAGAGTTAGTGAAAGAATTGCACCTAATTATTATAATTTAGTTAAAAGACCAATGTGGCTTCAACTTATGATAAATAAGTGCAAAAAAAGAGAATATAAATCTAGAAAAGATTTTCAAGATGACTTGAACTTAATTGTTGAAAACTGCAAAATTTATAATGGAATAAATCATCCTCTTGTTTCTGTTGCAACTTTAATCCAATCAAATGTCGTGAAAAAGATTGATGAAATTCAAGGAATAGAAAAAATTGAAGCTTATTTATCACTAAAGCCTTAATAAATCAAAAAATTAATTAATTAATTAGTTTTATATATTAAGTTATAAATTTAAAATATGTATTTTTCGAGGTTTTTATTTATTTTAGGAAGTGCATGCAAAAATTAATTTTTTCCAAGGTTCAGATATTACAACCTGGAAAATAAAAGTGTATTTTACTTGAACAGATCCCAACAGAATAACTTTATTGAAATACATATAACGAAAATATGAAGGAAGATAAAGTTAATAACACTAGTTTGAGTCAAAATACCTTTCTCTTATTATTAAAGGAAAATACTGATAGAAAAAGATGATAAATCATTAGTTTTTAAATTTCTTATAAAGAATAGAAACTCCTAACGAAAAATAAAAATATTAAAATATAATGTTTATTTATCTATTTTCAATTTGATCAAGTAAATATATATATAAATATTTTATTGTTAAAGCCAATAGTACCTTAATTTCAATACTAATAGTTGAGTTACCTTTAAAGCTTATTACGATTTAGAATAATTATTCTAACCTCCTTTGTGTTCCTACAGTAAATCAGCTTCTTCTCTTAAGTACTCTCCTACATCAGTTTGGTGATAAACTGCAATAGTTTCAGGATCAGCATTTTTCATATCAGCAGAACTTTTAGCCAAAACACCAAATCCTAATGGTAGCTCATCCATTGAATATACCACAACTCCAACATTATTGTTTAAACCATCAGTCATTCTACTGATATGTCTTTTTATTACGTGATTCCCATAAATATAGCTCTGTTCACCTCCTGGTTTAACCCAAACTTTATTTGGAGTTAGTCTAGCAATATACTGTAGTGAAGTTATTCCTAGTCTAAACTTATTACTTTTAGAGAATTTTCCCAAACATGTTCCCATACTTAACAAGCTTTTCTTTGGAACTAGACTTGCTGCCTTTGCCAATGTTTCGCTCATATAAAATACATTACCTTTATGTAACCTAAAAACATAATTCTCATCTTCTCTTTCTAACAATGACAACAAGTTGTTCCCCAAATAATTGCTCAGCTTCTCAAACAATATTTTTGTTTCTTCTTCCGTTAATGGTCTCATTTTTGCCTCTTATAGTCTCTTTAATCAAATCAACTCTTAGTTCTTGCTTCAATCTTTCTCTAGGAAATCTATATACTTCCTTACATAACAATTCAAATCTTCTCTCAACTAAGAAGAAGAATTTTTTACCAATTCAGATTATCCTTTTTCTCCTTAATTCTTATTCTTAACCATAATTATTTTAGTCTCGTAAAAAGTGACATTTTGCCGGTGGCGCCAAATGGCGCGGGCGGGCTCATGGGCATCTCATGTATTTTCAATGGAACAAAATGCTAATAATCTCGACTTTTTGAATGTATTAGTAGATAACAATGTTTTAACTAATTAAAGAGTTATTATTATTATTTCTCGTACTTTATTTGAATTCCTTGTACTTAAAACTTATTTTTTCTTGTATATTGTATTTGATTATGATATTGCATGTTACTAATATCTCCACTTATACTATTATTACTATAATCTCTTTGAGTTGATTTACCACATAAACCATCTTGTCTCATATATGTCCCATTAGGGCATTGATATGAGGGATCCATTGCCCCAATACATTTTCCTTCAGATTGTGTGAATCCTTGTGGGCAACTTAGTATGAATGGAGCAAATTCTAGAGCAGCACATTGCCCAATGTTTGATAGAGGTCTGACAGACCCAAAAAGCCTTCTTCTTTGTCCAAATACATTGGTCCCTACAAATTTGGTCATCTGGAGTGAGTTATTTTCCTGGTAATAATTATTCATTGATAATATTCCTTCTTGATCCATGTTTGAGAAAGAATTAATATTTGGATAATTAGAGACATTTTTCACTTCGGAGTATCCAGGTGGGCATTGCATTTTTCCTTCAGTTGGAATAAGTTCTGTACAATTTGGGTGTTTACAGCTCTTCTTAGTAATATATCTACACTTATTATGTTGAGTGATTTTTCCTCCCATTGAACAATGATACTTAAAAGGTGTCCTAATTGTTTCCATACACATATCTGCCTTATGGATTCCAAGTGACTCAGTTTTTTCTGGGCATTCTACATTTGGTCTAAATTCCAAGTAACTTTCACAACCCTCTGTTGGACAACTTTTTTCTATAGTTTCTAAACAAAAATCACCCATTAAAGTTGAATTATCGTCTAAACATCTTTTTTCTATAGTATGAGTTACTTCAGCAATACATTTTGGTTTTTCCGTAATATTTGAAACTCTTTTAGTAGTATGAGCACCATAATGAGGATGATTCGAAACTAACATTCTTTTATTATAAGTTCTTGTCATTAATATATCATCTCCTAATAAGATTTCAGTTCCAACAGGGCATTCCCATTCAGGACCAGAAATTTTCACTATATTCCTGCAGTTCTCACTTTTACATACTGGATTCTTAGCCTCAATACATTCAAATTGATTAAATTCATTACTTCTCAACTCAAAGTTCTCCGGACACTCAAATAAAGCATTCATTTTTTTCTCTCTAGGAATTCCTTCCTCTTCTGGAATACACTTCGGAAGCCTGGTTGTTGAACTCTCAGACAATAAATATCCTTCTGGGCATTTATAAAAAATAGACTCTATATTTTGTTGTTCACATCTGCCATTTCTAAGTTTGTACTCTGTTGGACAACTATAATTTGGCATGACTGTACTAACTTTGATACATTTCTTTTGATCTGTAGACTGAACACCATTATGGCATACATATACAACTGGTGCAGTTTCAACATTAACACACATCTTTGGTATGTATTCAGGTATTTCAACACATTGATGAACTATTTTTGTACTCTCTCTGGGGACAATGTAATTATGATGGTGGTGACCTCCATGATGGTGATTTCCATGATTAAGCATCATATTCAAATTTCTAGTTTCTAAAACAACTTCTCTATTAATATCCGTTCCAGTTTCAGAATCATAACTGGTACACTTCTTTTTATATTGAGTAATCGAACAATCCCTTTCAATCTTTCTTTCACATACTTGAGTCTGCGAATTTAGTACGAATCTTGGAGGACAAGTAACAATTGGATCAATTTCAATCTCTCTTTTACATTTATTATCTAATTGGTCAAATATATATCCTACAGGACAATCGACGTTAGGAGTCATACTTTGGTTCCTTACACAATATTGACCAACAATAACTGCATCAGGATTCATACAATATGAAACTGGGTTAATTTCAATAACTTGTCTTTCTGGAAGGTAACAAAAACCTCCTCTATGTATGTATCCGTCATTACAACGGGGTGTTGCTAATTCCTTTCTTATACATTTTCTAATACTTTCAACATATGTAAAACCTATTTGACATTGTTGTGGAACCTCTTCTTTTATTAAATAGCAAATATCCATTCCTGAATGGTCCTTCTCTTTTACCATTCCAATGGGGCATTCGGAAATAGGTTCTATAAATTCTTGCTTTTGACAATAATGTCGTGATTCTAAAGTTGGATATGCACCTTGAATCGATACGTCTAGTTTAATGTCTTTCAATAAGTAACCTTCTGGACAAAAAATTTCTGGTCTTGACTTTTGGATACAAGAACCTTTATCATCTTCTGTTGTTCCTTCTGGACATATTGGCTTATGAAACACCTTAACTTTGCAAACTGGTGATTTTGACCCATCGCCATTGTATTCTTTTTCACCTTCGAGAAATGCCATATTTGACGTATAACTAGAATTATCTTGCTCATGAATTGCTCTAATAGATAAAGGAATCTCATTACAGTTATATTCTTTCTTAACTAGTTTTTTAATATAACACCCATCTCCTCTTTCTTCCTCATTCACCCCACAACTAATTTCTGCTTCCTTTAATTTATAGCAATCGCCATTTCCATCTTCAATATATCCTGCTTCGCACTTAGGTACTTCTCTATTTTCTATATAACATGCTTGAGTATGCTTATCATATCTAGTATTTTCTGGACATGTAAGAACTTTATTTGTATGGACATTCTTACTACATTGTGTTGCTCCTACTGATGATTTGAAACCTTCAGGACAAGATTTTATCAATGGTTCTGTCACAATACAGCCATTTTCTTGCTCTGAAAATACTCCATTATGTGGACAATTTGGAACAGGGCTCACTACACAATCAATTCCATTACATAATGTGCCATTTGCAGTAACAAGGGTATTTGTATTGGTCCAAACCCCCAATAGTAATATATATAAAACTATATTTAAAAAAAACATAGAAAATAGAAATCTTACACCATTTAATATTATTCTACATTAGGAATTTTATTTTTCAAACTAATTAATATTCTCTATTACGTGGCAGGTCCGTAAATGCAAATTGCCATGCATGCATTCCACGCGAATACGAGGGACCTTATGTGGCCAAGCTTGAAATTTTTAATAAGAGTAAAAAATAAAAGAGAATGAGAGTGGGGAACAGGAATAGTCAATAAAAACTAATAAGTCTTACAAAAAGAACGGTAAAGAAAACAATACAAATATTAGACTATGATTATTATGTCAAATCAATAATCTGGGTTAAAATCACTTTTTTTTTTAAGGGTTACATTATTTTTAGCAACAAAATAATAATCCTTGATGATGATTATTGCCAATAATATTTATAAATTCATAAGTTCGTTAAATTTGTATTGCGTTCCACCTCATTAATATAGTATTTATGATTTAAAAAGTGTTGCTTTATACAACCCTCAAAAAAGCGAGTATCCTAATATCCCAATGTTACCTTCCACCTTTTTCTTACCTTTATTGTTTCCATATTAGATTGGAATTTACGGTATGACTCCAAATGTTTAGGGTACTTGTTTATTTTCCTGTTCTGAAGTACCTTGTGATTGTAATTCCTTTTCTACCCGAGTGTTCACCAGAGATTCAATGGAATTAACATTATTATTTACCTGTTTTTGCAATCGAACAGCATTATTAACACTGCTTGATTGAACCTGACCTGCATTAGTTGTATTTGTAGATAGACTTATATTATTATGAAATTGACTTCCCAATACATTTGGATTCGGAATAATCGAAGGCATCATTGGGGTGTATGATCCCATAAAAGGCATAGTGTATCCATAAGGCGAATACCAACCTGAATATGCAGCAGCCATAACAGCCATATAATCCGTATGGTAATTACTTGGAATGTTTGTACCACAAATAGTAATATTCGAAGAAGGCATTGCCTTTGTTTCTTGTCCTGGCATTATTGCACCATACTGATCTAGTGTAGATTCTGCAATGTTTTTAACAGAGTTAGAAGCATTAGACTGAGTAGAACCTTTAAGACCACCAACATTTAAAGTAACACCTTGGAGTTTATCAACTTCTGATTCTTCAGATTTATTGGATTCTAATCCAGTAACAGGTGCCAAGCAATATTGTGGAATTATGAATGGGTTTGTACGTATTGCAGCATTAGCATAGTTCCCACTAGTATTTGATGATATTGCAAGATTAGCAGCAGCTGCATATGCCACTTGCTGTTGCAAATAATAATTTGCCATTTGAGCATGTTGTAAAGCGACCAAAGTATTATAATCCATACCAACAAAAGGATTAGTGGAGGTAGTTGAAGAGCTTTGATCCATAAATGCCGATCCAAGTTGATTCGAATTCGTGGGGAAAAAGTTTAATTCAGAAGAATCAAGAGTTTCTGTTTTGGAATTTGGTTTAAATCTCTTAGAGGAAACAGTAGTTGAACTGGCTGATGGGTTCATATATGTTCCCGTAGTCTGCCTCTCTACTAGTCTATCGGATTCAATTTGGTTTGCCATTAATGCCAAAAATAAGTCATCAGAAGAGACATTTTCTCCAATTGTAGAATTTACTGGAAGGGAAGCGGAAAATTTGGATTCATTTTGGTTTGTATTGGTATTCTGCTTATGCTTAGCTGTAACATACTCTCTGGCAGATGTAATTGGGCTAGTTATTCCAGCGGCATTTCCTTCACTATTATCCATTTTCTTAATAATCTCACCATACAAGGTTGCAGGATTGATATTGGAAGTGTTATAATGAGACCAAACCTCATCATCACTTTCAGGAGCAGGGAAATGTAACATGATTCCTTTGGTCCTTCTTGCCTCCTTAAGTGCTTGAGAACCAACATAAGGCTCTTCTCCTTCTTCATCACTTTCTGAAAATCTAAAATGTTTTAAGTGGCTTCTTCTATGTAATGGACTATTAATCAACAAAAATCTGATAGCAGCCTTTTCTGCATCCCTAACAGTAGCATATGGCTTATTGGGGCCCACATAAAAGCTTTTAGAATACTTTCTAGTGGCCCATGTAAACCTAGCATAAACTCTGCTTTCTTTATCTTTCCAATATACTCCAATTTGATTGTATTTCAGTTGCCTTGAACCAACTTCATGATTTGCTGATGAACGACGACCTGATTTAGAGGTACTTTGTGCGGATTGTACCAATTCCTCAGCTCCTGTGTCAATATTAATAGGATGAATATCAAAAGCAGATTGCTCTTCTAGTTTTTCTTTAGAATCTTTATTTGCCAGAACATCTGTTTTTGAGTCTTCTGTTTGTATATCTTCTGAGTTATTCGCTCCAGCAACAGAGAGAACACTATTTGAATCACAAAGTTCGTTAGTAGTTATAGTAGTTGTTAAACATGAATCGTCATCCTCAACATAAGAACCACTTTTGGTGATTGTAATTGGTTTTGTAATATTATACTCATAAATACCTGTGTTTGTAGCATCAATTGGAATGGCCTTACCTTCTTGTCCCAAATCCAAAAATACCTTTTGATCATTAGAAAGTGGATTTACAGCTTTAATCATTTTTGAGAAATTTTCTTCTGCTTCGTTTTCCATGTTATCTTGATTTATCACTATTTTCACTAGCTTGCGTTTCCACTTTTCTGATAAAGTTACTAACCAGACGACTAGTAATACCTTTCTATAAAATAGATCGACCTATAAATTGCTCAATATGCGTAGATCTCCTTTTTATGATGTTTTCCCTCAGTTTAGCCAACACATAAAGAAATATACACACTTATTTTTGCTGTGGGGCGGAAAAATTGGTTTTCTTTGGAATTAAATCGCTTCTCTTCACTTAATTGATCTCTACAGAAAAGTAATGAACACGCGTGATATTACTTGATTAATAAATTTCTAAAAAACTGGCTTTTTTTGGATTTTTTTTCTCTTTTTTACTTTTTTCGAATCTCCAAAATCTATTTGTGAATTCTCAGTTCTAACCTGCTTATCCTTTAAAAAAATGCTTATCACCTTGTTCTCACTTTAAATTCTGCTCCTCCTACCCTGGTATCTTCACCAATATCTTCCTTTCTTGCTCTTTTGGTTCAGATCCTATGGATTTTTATGAAATGAATGGTACCGATACCACACGTGAGCAGATTTAGCATGCTATTAATGTGGGCAACACGTGGATAAGGCGGTAAAAATGAATCCAATAATTTTTTTTAATCTAACGTATAGTAATCTTCTTACTAATTATATTAAAATATAAATTTCAAATATATATTTATAGTCCTTTTTTCACAGATTTCACTGGCAAGGCTTGTATTTAAAATTTCCCCCCCAAATAATTAAAATTGCATTTTTTGTTCCGATTTTCTTATAAAATTATTTCAAAATAAAAAAAGTAATTAAAAAATACTCACACGTCATTTATTTCTGCTTTTCCTTACACAAATATTTTTTAATTATTTTTGCTTATGTACTGGTATATTTACCGGACTGTCCACATAACATATACGTGTTTTTTTTTCCATGCATACATGCATGCAGATATTACATGCAATGTAATTTATGGGGGGTTATCATAGATTAATATAATTTTTGTCAGTTAACAAATGTTACGTCATTTATGCGTTATTAATTTTTTAACTCAATTAAGATAATGTTTCAGTCAGAAATGTGTACAAATGTGGATTCATTTTATGAGAAAAATATATTCTTATACAATTAGGTTTTTAGAATTTATTTATAAAAATTTCAACAGGGAAAACTAGGTATTCTTATAAGATTTTCAATTCAAATATTAGTATATTCTATTAAAATCTAAACTTGCTTATTTACAAAGCTTGTAACGTACACGTAAATTTTAGCTAGTTTTTTTTGCAGATCATGTTAAATTAACTAAAAATATTAAACACTGTTATAATTACTTATCGAATTAATCATCTAATAATTTTATTGCAAAATAATATACAAGCCAACTTTGGCGGTAGAGGGGCAAACATGTCGAGGGAGGGGACACCTTGAGATTTTTGACTTCTCGTAAAAAAGTAAAGAATCGAGGATGAGGGAAGAGGATTAAATAAAGAAATTATTGTTAACTATTATTCAAAAAATTGAAAAATCGAAAGAATTCCTTATATAAGAGAGAATAAGAACCAACAAATTTTGAAGTAATATGAACCAATTCTAATAATATAACAAAAAAAGGCTTGTTAAGTAAATTTTATAATTGAAATATAAATTTTAATATGGGCGAGAAAGAAATTGTAGATGGATGCGTAGCTGCTTGCCATATTGCATATGCATGCTCTGAGGTTGCATTTACGTATCCAATAACTCCTTCTAGTACATTGTCTGAGGTGGCTGACTCATGGATGTCTCGTGGACGACGAAATATTTTTGACCAGGTTGTATCGGTTGTTGAAATGCAGAGTGAAATGGGCTCTGCTGGTGCATTGCATGGCTCTTTGTCTGTTGGTTGTTCTACAACAACTTTTACTGCTTCACAGGGATTATTGTTAATGATTCCAAATATGTATAAAATTGCTGGTGAGCTTTGGCCATGTGTGTTTCATGTTACAGCTAGAGCTCTTGCCACCTCTTCACTCTCTATTTTCGGAGATCACAATGATATTATGGCTGCTAGACAAACTGGTTGGGCTTTTTTGGGAGCCATGACAGTACAAGAAGTTATGGATTTGGCATTAGTTTCACATGTGAGTACATTTGAATGCAGTGTTCCTTTTGTCAACTTTTTTGATGGATTCAGAACATCTCATGAGTTACAGAAAATTGATATGATCAGTTATGATACTATTAAGGAAATTTTTCCATATCAAAAACTAAAGGAGTTTAGAGAAAGAGCATTAAACCCCACACACCCAATTCTAAGAGGTACTGCCACAAGTTCTGATGTCTATTTCCAGCTTGCTGAAGCAAGGAATAAATATTATGAGGCAACTCCAGATATTGTTCAAAGTGTTATGGACCGTCTAGCCAAACTAATTGGCAGGAGCTATCATCTTTTTGACTATTATGGCCATCCCGATGCAGATTTCTTGGTTGTTGTTATGGGATCTGGTGGTCTCACAATTGAAGAGATGATTGATTATCTATTGGAAAAGGGAGATGAAAAGATTGGTATGATCAAGGTTAGGCTATTCAGACCTTGGTCTATGGATGCTTTTCTCAAAAAAATTCCAAAAAATGTAAAAAGAATTACTGTCTTAGAAAGATGTAAAGAAAGTGGTTCTCTTGGAGAACCACTCTGTTTAGATGTTTCTACAAGCATTATGAGATCTGAATCAAGTAATAAAAACATTTTGGTGTTAGGTGGTAGATATGGCCTCGCAAGTAAGGAGTTTACTCCAGGTATGGCTTTAGCAGTATGGGAAAATATGATAAGTAGCAATCCTATCAACAATTTCTCTATTGGAATTGATGATGATGTCACATTTAAATCTCTATTTGTTAGGAATCCAAGGTTGGATTTACTTACCAGCGAAACGAAACAGTGCCTATTTTGGGGTCTTGGCTCTGATGGTACAGTTTCTGCCAATAAAAATGCTATTAAGATTATTGGAGAGTCTACAGATCTTCAAGTTCAGGGTTACTTTGCTTATGATGCAAAGAAAGCTGGTGGAGCAACAATGAGCCATCTTAGATTTGGCCCTAAACCCATTAAATCTGCTTATTTGCTTCAAAGATGTGACTATGTTGCCGTACATCATCCATCATACATCCACAAATTTGATGTATTAGAAAACATTAAACAAGGAGGCTGTTTTGTACTCAATTGTCCCTGGAGTACTTTAGAAGAACTTAATCACGAACTTCCTTCGAAGATTAAGGACCAAATTGCGTCTAGAGATGTTAAATTCTATGTTATTGATGCCCAGAAGATTGCTCAGGAATCCAATCTTGGGAGAAGAATTAATAATATACTTATGGTAGTATTCTTCAGTTTGACTAATATCATTCCTTTGGATCTCGCAATTAAGCTTGTGAAGGAGGCCATTAAAAAGACTTATGGAAAGAAGGGAGATGCTGTTGTAAATTCAAACTGGAAAGCTGTTGACCTCACTTTGAAATCACTGATTCAAATTTTCTATAATAAATCAGAATGGTTAACTAAAGACAAAGTTGGAGAAAAAGCTACTCTTACTCCTGATCTATTGAATAAAGACCAAGTAGTAACCAAATCTACCATTTTGAAGCAAAAATCAAGCCACGATATTAATCAATTTGTAAAGGGTATCCTGGAACCAGTTAATGCATTAAAAGGTGACAAACTTCCTGTGTCCATGTTTGATCCTACTGGTACTGTTCCCCTTGGAACCACAGCATATGAGAAAAGAGGTATTGCTATTTCCATTCCAATTGTTGATATGAATAAATGTACTCAATGTAATTATTGTTCCATTGTTTGTCCACATGCAGCAATTCGACCATTTTTGTTGGATGAAACAGAGTTTAAGAATGCACCAGAAACAATGCATATACCAAAAGCTAAGGGAGGTCAGGAATTTTCATCTTATTATTATCGGATTCAAGTTACACCACTGGATTGTACTGGCTGTGAGTTGTGTGTACATGCATGCCCAGATGATGCACTTCATATGGAGAGTTTGCAAAAGAAAGAAGCTGTGGAAAAGTCTCATTGGGATTATTTAATTGCTCTTCCAAATAAGGCTGAGAAGTTTGACAGGACAACTGTAAAGGGTTCACAGTTTCAGCAACCTCTTCTTGAATTTTCTGCAGCATGTGAAGGATGTGGAGAGACGCCTTATGTTAAATTACTTACACAACTTTTTGGTGAAAGAATGGTAATAGCAAATGCAACAGGTTGCTCTTCAATTTGGGGTGCATCTTATCCTTCGGTACCATATACTAAGAACCAGAAAGGATATGGCCCAGCTTGGGGTAATTCTCTTTTTGAAGATAATGCAGAGTATGGATTAGGAATGGTGGTAGGATATAGACAAAGAAGAGATAGGTTTAAAGACTTTGTTTCCAATGAGATTTTAAAGGAGGTTGAGGAAGAAAAAGAGTTTCTTGAGCACAATAATACTTCAGTAAAAGACAGGGGTGAGATTATTACCAAGTATGATCATCTGAAAGATTATTTGAGGTCATGGCTAAAAAACATCAAGAATGGTCAGGCATGCCAAAGCTTATTTGAGGAGATATCTAAGTTACTTGAAGAAAATTTAATAAATAGTAACAAATTTGCTCAAGTATTAAGGGAAGACAAAATTGAAATTCTGGAAAAACTTTATGATTCAAGGGATTTAATACCTAAGATTAGCCATTGGATAGTTGGTGGAGACGGCTGGGCCTATGATATAGGATATGCTGGTCTTGACCATGTTTTATCATTTGGTGAAGATGTGAATATTTTAATTTTGGATACTGAAGTATATTCTAATACTGGAGGTCAAGCATCTAAAAGCACTCCTTTTGGTGCTATTGCCAAGTTTGCTCAGGGTGGAAATTTAAGACAAAAAAAGGATATTGGATCAATAGCAATGGAGTATGGGTCAGTATATGTAGCGTCAGTAGCTTTGGGAGCAAGTTACTCTCAAACCATTAAATCTTTGTTGGAAGCAGAGAAATATCCAGGAACATCATTGATAGTAGCTTATTCAACTTGTATTGAACATGGCTATACAAAGTATAACCTCCAACAAGAAAGTGTTAAGCTGGCAGTAGAAAGTGGATACTGGCCTTTATATAGGTACAATCCAGAGTTAGTTCAAACACAGATTGTGGACAACTTGACAACAATAGTATCTTCAGGATTTACCTTGGACTCAAAAAAAGTTAAGATTGATATTGAAAGCTTTCTAAAGAGGGAGAATCGTTTCTTACAATTGATAAGAAGTAACCCAGAATTAGCCTCGATTGCTAAAAATAAATTAAAGGCTCATTCAGACAAAAGATTTCAGAAAATGAAGGATTTGTCAGAGAATGTAACAGTAACATCTTTGAAAGACCAGATAAAGAAGCTTAAAAATCAGTTAGTTTCTATTCAGAATGCAAGTAAAACAGGGGAATTAGCTGCTAGTGGCTTAATTAATACTGAACTATTTATTGAGCAAGAAATGCATGTATTATATGGCACTGAAACAGGTAATTCAGAGGAAGTTGCTCAATATATACAGAGTCAGTTGGTATCAAGAGGATATATATCTAGCTCATTAAATTTAGATGACCTGGATATTGAAGACTTTTTGAACCCAGATAAGTTTTCTACAGTTATAATTGTTACAAGTACATCAGGGCAAGGAGAATTTCCAGGGTCTTCAAAATTATTATATGAGGCTTTACTTAATAAACACCTGGAAAATAAAGATGACAAATTCTGTAGTTTTATGAGATTTGGAATATTTGGTTTAGGTGACTCTAACTATGTTTTTTTTAATGAAGCAGCAAAGAAGTGGGATAAGCTTTTAACAGATTGTGGTGCAATGAGGATTGGAACAATTGGAATGGGAGATGACCAGTCAGAAGAAAAATATGAGACTGAACTAATAGAATGGTTACCAGATTATTTACAATTGATTAATGCTCCAGAACCAAAACAAGATGAAAAAAGTGAAATCCCAAAGGAGACTACTTTTAAAGTCACAATATTGGACTTTTGTAGAAATGATACTCTAAATGAAGCAACAGGTACTTTATATGAGAAATTGGATGAGAATTGTAAAAGTGGAAATTCGCAATATAAGCCAATAGTTCCACCAAATTCAGTTTTACTTCCAATAGTTGAGAATAAAAGAATAACAAATCAAGACTATGATAAGGATGTGAGACATATTGTATTTAAATTGAATGATGGAAATGGGGCTCCATGTCTTTCTTATTGCTTGGGAGATAGTTTAGCATTATATGGACAGAATCCAATTAATGAAGCAATTAAAGCTATTGAAATGTTTGGTTATAATCCATATAGTTTGTTAAGGATAAGTATGAATGAAGATAATGAAGCAAATAGCACTAGTAAAGTAAGTCAGAGATATAGTTTATTATTTGGACAAGATATAACTATATTACAATTATTTGTGGAATGCTTGGATCTTTGGGGAAAACCCAATCGCAAGTTCTTCCAAGAGTTTTATCGTTATTGTAGTGATCCAGAAGAGAAGATTTTGGCAAAGAAGTGGGCTCAGAATGAAGGAAAGAAGCTCATTGAGGAATTTTCATCAAAAACTGGAACATATTTGGATATGTTTAAAATGTTCAAATCAGCAAGGCCAACTCTTGCTCAACTTTTGGATATTATTCCCTTCATAAAATCAAGATCATATTCAATAGCTTCTTCTAGCCAATTTGTGAATGGAGAAAGTATTGAATTATGCGTGGGAATTGTGGACTGGAAGCTTGAATCAGGAGAAATTAGATTTGGACAATGTACAGGTTTTCTAAATAGACTACCAATGTTGGATTCGAGTGATAAGATACCAAAAGAGCCATTAGAATCAAAAATTGATAGTATTACAAGAATTCCATCGAATATTAAAGCAAGTGCTTTTAACTTACCTTTTGACTATAAATCACCAATTATTATGGCTTGTATGGGCACTGGAATTGCACCTTTTAGAGCCTTTATTCAGAATAAAAAGTATATTAGAGACGTGCTAAATGAAGAAATTGGGCCAGTGATATTGTACTTTGGCTGTAGATATTATGATATGGATTATTTGTACCGTGAAGAGCTTGAGAATTATGTAAAAGAGGGGGTTATTTCGTCTTTGAATATTGCATTTTCTAGAGATCCAAAAGGATACAAAACACCAGATTGCGAGAATATTAGATATGGGCAGAAGATGTATGTGCAACACTTAATGCTTGAAAATAGTCAAGAAATTTACGAGAATTTGATAGAAAATTGTGGTTACTTTTACTTGTGTGGTACTAAACAGGTTCCTATTGATATTAGGAAGGCTATGATCCAGATAATTATTAAACAGGGGTCTACAAGTGAGTATAAAGTATCTGAAGAATATGCTAACAATGTTTTAAATAATATTCAAATAATGGGTAGATATAATGTAGAAGCCTGGTCATAAGGAATTAAATTTGAAAAGAATATTTGATGATGAAAAAACTCTCAATAATAGTAAATCTAAAGTTTTTCATGTTTAACATTAAAGACAAATTATACTCTAATTTTTAAAATAGATATTTTTTGAAAAGAACAATGATTTAAACCTTTAGAAATTCTATTAATATTAATTTTTATTTTTTTCCCAATTTTATTATAATAAATTGATTAAAGTCTTTATCCACATTAAAATTCTTTTTTGCATTATATACCGGCGTGACATGCACTTTTGTGTTGTTTTTTCTACTAGGAAGTTATTGCATGCATTCATGTGGATAGAAAAATGCAAGGATAGCCCTCAGGAATTAGGCAATTGTGAATAAAACTTAATTCAGATGTGAAGAATTAAATTAGAAAGTTGGGACATTGAAAATTGAATTACCAAATTTAGAAAATAGAAATTTAAAAATGAGTTAAATAACGGATTATGGTAAATATTTAAAAAAATATGGAGGTTCAAGATTAAATTGCAAAAATTATATTGATTACCAATTTAAAGCATTGAATTAAATCCTATTTATTTCTCCAAATATTCAACATCGAATTGAATTCCCAAATCTTGGCATTGCTTGATTACTGAAGCACCAAATAAAGTTGATGGTGTGGAGAACCCAAATGTTTGTGGGAGATTACTGTAATCAAAAATGATTGAGAATGAACAAGCGAGTGCTAAAATAGCTGAGATACCATATAGCTCAAGATCTCGTGTCTGGACAACGCACTTATAGTTCTTTCCTTGCATTGTAGTTCCAACAAAAGTTGTTTTACAAACAGTTTCCTTGGCTTTTGAAATATCTGGGCCTTTACCTACAAAATAAGGCGCTCCACAATGAACCATCTTTGAAATAAGTAACCTTTCAGATAAGAACCTTCCAAGTTTGTCTTTGAAACAGCTTGAAAGAGCAGACAAATAAGATGTGTCTATAGATCTTGAAGAAAAAACAAAGTCCATACCATATGGATATCCCATTTCTTCGTTGGCAAAATGAACAAACATCGAATGAATACTTGAAAGCATATTGGGTGAGGTCCATGCCTGAACATGGGAATTGTAAACTGGCCCAGAAGCAACCTTGTTTTTTTCGGTGATTTCAGCTATGTTACTTAAACATAAAGTCCCATTACACAATGCATAAGGATCCGATTGTTTGATTTCCTTCTTTATTGGATCATTTATAGACAATAAAACGCTTTTTACTGTTCCATAGGTTGCTGATTGACTATATCCTTCATGTTGAAAATAATGCAGGACTTCTTGGCATGGAAGGCCACTTGTTTGTGCTGCAAAGTTTTGGAGGTGTAATAAACCTAAATCAGTTACTGCTGCAACGAATCCACAACATGTGGCAAATTTTAAACCCCTGGATGCAATTGAAGCCCCATATAATCTTTGCATTTTCTTGAACCAAGCAATCTCACCACATAGATCTATATAATGTGTGTAATTATCACAACATAAACTTACAATTATCTCACCACATTCAATATATGGTCCTGAGGCATTAATGCAAACCTTTGAGTTGGCTATACACTTGCCAATTTCTTCATTGTTATTACATACAAACATTGGGACGGAAGAAATCATTTCTTCACCTTTAGAAGTGCTTGTTTCTTTATCTAATGTCTCAATAAGACGCCTTCTAAGGGCTTCCATTTTATCCACACTTCTTCCTCCAAAACAGTATTTTAAGTTGGTTGTTCCTGGCTTGTATGTTCTAACGAGTAAATCACATATTAAATTTCCTGTAAAACCAGTGGATCCCCAAATAAATAGGTCATATTGTTTTTGTGGGCCGGACATCTCTAATCAACAAGTAGAAGAAAAATTAATCTTGAATTTTAATTCAAAAGCTCCTATTGTAGAAGCTACTAAAAATCCAAAATCAGTACTTTGAGCTGGGTACTTCAATCAAACTTCTTATTAAGTATTTGTATACAACAAATATTCAATTCTATACCTCTCTCCTCAGTTCGCAATATATATGTATTATAAACTACGTCTAGTATCAAAATATTAATTCTTAAATTGCTATAATTGTATAATTTATATGCACACAATATATTAATATTAGATCTATCCACATAATTATATTGAGTAATATTTCATCCTAAACGCCCGCCTAATGTTTTCACTGATTCGAATTTGATGAATTAAGGTTTATAGAAATAATATACGGGGGGAGGAAAAATTGATATATAATTAAAAATTATAGTTATAAAATGAATAAATTAACAAGAAAATGGTGAGGTATAGAGGTATTATTCGATATTATATATTTAAATATATAGCTAAAACTAATTTATTAGCTTGTTCAAAGTAAGTTTGTGAGTGACTTTTTACTAATTTTACTCTCATTACTTTCAATGAGTGGTTTCTCATATGTTCTTGATTTGTTAGAGTTGGGATTTCCTTGTTCAGATAGATGAATAGTATTTGATTTCTCGAGTTTTTTTATTCGATTAGCTTTCTCGACTTGTTGGAGGTAAAAATTATTTTCTTTTTGGACTTGGGTAATTCTGGCTTGGAGTTTGGTTTTTCTAACAGATTTTAAGTATCTTTTATGCTCTGTTAGATTATGCCACTTAAAATTAGATAAATATTTAATACACCAGATATCATCTCTCCAAGCATTATGCCTCTTTTTGCCTCCAATATTGGTGTTATTTAGTGAGCTTGCAACCATTTTTGCAACTTTCTTATCTTTAAATTCAACCCAACCATCAATATATCTAATGTAGTTTCCACCCTTCATTTTGATTCTCTGTTCATGTTTTGATTTATCTTCAGGTCTCAAAAAAATTCGGTCAACTTCCCCAAATCTGGACATAATTTCTCTAATATTATGAGGTTGCATTTTAGGAGGGATTCTGGAAATATATATAATTCCTCTATTTTTTTCATCATTAATGACGTTTTCAAATGCAGATAAAATTCCACTCTTCTCATTATTAGTTTCTAATTCTTTAGTAGTTTCTTCTGGGCTCATTCTGATAACTATTTATTTTTTAAATATAATTATTCCATAAAAAAAACTAACATAAGAAAATAAAATTCTTTGATTTGGAGGTTAGATACTGATATTAGTTCAAACTTAAGATTTTGATTCTTATCTTTAATATTTTGAACAATCAATTGTTGACAACTCTTAATAAAGTTGGCGCCAATTGTTTAGCTTTAAATGTGTATTAAGCTTAAAGAAGAGTAATAATAGACAGTTAAAATAACATGGAAAAATGGCCGGAAATATAAATTATATTTAATGATAGTAGTAAAGATATGAATTGGTGAATGAAGAGAAAAATTACCTGAAGTAAAGCTAAAAAGAAGTGAGTTATTACTACATATGGCCGAACATTATATTAAACAGTAAGTATAACATATGAATGGACTTTTCAGCCATAAATTTTTAAAAAATTGAATAATTTAAAGTTGGTTGAAAATTGCTTCACGATAAAATCTTTAATAGTTATTAACTTAATTAGTTTTTTTAAAAGATTTTGCAGTGCTCATGTTTCCAAAGAGATTCTTTTTGTTATTTCGATTTGCGTTTTTATTGTTTCTGTCGTCCTCACTATCAGAATCAGTGCCAATATTGCTATCACTGCCACTTTCCGATTCGCTTTCAGAATCATCATCATCTACATTAACAATATCACCTTCGTCATCTTCTTCTAGTTCGTCATCTTCATCAACAGCTTCTCCTGTAAACCAATATAGAGAATACGGAATTAGTTTATCCCTAATAAAGACACCCATTTCATAATCAGTTTCTACTGTAGATTCAAGTTCCATAATATCAAAACGATCCATTTTTGCAAGTTCTTCATCAGAAGGAACATTTAGGGATTTAAAGAAGTTAAAGAAACTTTCTCTATGAACAGTTTCTGTTACAATACGAACTTCTTTTGACTGTTTATGTCTTTGCCTCCTGACAACAACCTCTTGAGTAGGATCTTTTCCTTGCTTCCATTCAATTTTGCTTACCACAGTATTGCTTAAAAGAGGTTCATCGTCTTCTAGGAAAACCATAACGTATTCTTTTTTGATATTAGTACCTTCAAAGAAAGGATTTGGAACAAAGTTGAAATTCAAAATAAATCCAGATTGCTGATCTGAGGTCCACTCTGTAGTGATATTTTTAAGATATGAAAGAATAGGAACATCATATTCTTCAATAGCTGATCCTAACATTCTACTGTTCCTCATTGCTGTAATCCAAAATTGTGGTAATCCAGGAGTTCCAGATTCCTCAACTGTGCCAGACTCCAAAATTTGATCTCTTTTAGTATAGATCTGGTCATACTGAGCTTCATATTTTGAGCGGAGTTTTCGCATTTCTGCTAAATACTCTTTTTCTATAGTGTTAAATTCTGTCTGTATATCTTTTAGCTTTTTGAGAGATTCTCTACTCTCATCAGACAAATGTTGTTCCAACTCGTCTATTTCCTCTATCTTGTCTACTGGATTATTAGCATTCATCTCAACTTATTTAAAAATAATAGTAGTCTGTTAAAAAATGTTATTCTTAACAACGGAATAACGACTTTGTAAGTTTTGACAATTGTTTTTGGCCTTATTTTAAGAGCGGGAAAATGTAATTAATATGATTTATGTGATTTTATTTTAGTAATTTCGTAACATTATGATTATGCTTGAGTAATTATTTTTTTCTTGTTATCCAAAATAAAATATACATTCATCTAAAATAGCTAGTAGTTATACCTTTTGATCTAACATAGAATTACTGATTTTTCCCCAAAATTCATTTCAATTGTTTTTATTTTTATAAAGTTACGTTGAAAACTTATAATAATCCAATTTTCTTTCCTGTGATTATATTATTTTTGCCTACGTGTCATGTGGCTACTTTTCTAATTAAGTAAACTGCATGTAATACCGGTATAGGGATATGGACAAATTTTATCTGCATGTAAATATTAAATAAATGAAAAAATATATAAATTACACACAGGTACTATAATAAAAAAAAACTGATCGGGAAAATACTTGTAAAAAATTACTTAAAAGAAGATATTTAGAGAGAATATTAAATATAAGACAAAACCAATAATTCAAGAATAGAAAATTAATTGTGTTTTGTACATGACTAGTTTTGTCATTTTTTTTAAATGAAATTAAAATAGAAAACTTCAATAAAAAAGTGAATATTAAATAAGATGGCTCAATGTAGCAAAAATAATAATTACATTGAAGATGATGTCCTCAAAGTTTTGAATAATGAGCAGGATTCAATTGAGAATTTGAAGAAAGGTGAGTGAAAAATATTAAAGGTTTATTTTCACTATTAATGTATTGTTTAGCAAATCTCATATATGACGAGATTAATCAAAAAATTACAAATGATAAGGAGGGTACAATAGAGATCAAAGTAAGTCAACAAAATATTAAATGAGTATGCATATCAGAGGGAAATGATGAGTATACTTAGAATAAGAGTTTGAAAATATTAATTATCTTAATATTTTATCTGATTTAACACGAAATAGAACCAGATAGAATCGTTAATACAAATAATTGACCAGGTGAAAGAGATGGAAGACCAAATTATGGGTTATTTGAAAACTCAAAAGGTTATTCAAGAAAAAACAAGGGTTGAAATGAAAAACAAATATGATGAGTTATTCAGGGAGAAAACTAATGAGAGGAGAAAAATGGAGGAGGAGTTAAATGGAATAATAGATAAAATTAAGGAGAAAGCTGGAGAATTAAGTAAGATGGATATTATGATAAAGGATGTATCTAAAGATAATGATTATATGTTAAAGGTAAGTTTAGTAAAATATAATAAAGTAAATGTAAAATGGCAAAATAATTAACTCAATTTTGTACAGTTAACTAAAAGTTGGGACGAAAAGAAAAATTACTGGAAAACCTTAATTGATGAGCAAGAAAGAAAAAGTGAGCAACTTTCGGATTTGGATAGTTATTTGTCTGAAAGGTTTAAGAATTTGAATGAGGAATATAACCAAATATTACAGGAAAAGAAGGGTTTAATGGCTTCAAAAGATAATTTGGAGATTTTGATTGAGAAGTCAAAAAAGCAAGGTGAGGAAAAAATGAGGGAGTTATATATAGTGGATAAGGAAATAAAAGATGAGTTGGAAACAAAAATAAATGAAAATAATAGTATTTCTGTAGAAATAACAAGATTGAAGGAAAAAAACGAATCTATAGAGAAAAGGAAGGTATCAATTAAAGAAGAAATAATAAAATTAGAAAATGATCTCGCCTCAAAGGTAGATAAGATTAAATTTTGCAAGGAGGAATTATTGAGAACTAGTGACGAATTGGATAAAAAAAAACTAGAAACATCTAAATTTATGCAAGAATTGATTGAAAATAAAAGGTACACAAATGAAATTAATGAATTAAATATTTGCTTAGAAGAGAAAAGAGAAAGATTGAGACAAATAGATGCAAGAAGTGAAACTAGCCACAATTACGACAAGATAGTAGAGTTGGAGCATATTAATGAAGCAAATCATTTGCTTGAGGAGGAAATTATGTCATTGAATTCAAAAATTAAACATGAAGAGAGGGATTTAATAGATGAAATTTCAAAATTGAAGGAATCAAAAGTTCTTATTTCATCTGAAAATATTGATGAAACATTAACAGAATTGGAAAAGGGATTAATGGGAAATAAATTAGATAATATGACTTTAATTGAGAATTTGGGCCAAGAAGAAACAACAATAGATGATATATTCAACCAAATTACTAAAATACGTCAACTATTGGATATTAATGACAGTGATAACGATAATAATGAAGATGAAGTTTCAAATAAGAGAAGAAAAGGGAAATTGAGAAGAAGCAAGGCTAAGAATACCCAGCCTATGGAGCAAGTCTTAATACAGTCATTAAGGATGATTCAAAAGATAGACCAATCTAGAGGATCAATAAATGATAGTTTCAATTTTAAAGAGATTCAACAAAAGTCTCACAACATTGCGAATGAAGACAATAAAAATCCGGTAACAAAATCTCCTGACAGTCCAAAGAGTGGGGTATCTGGCTTTGGAAGAAGAGTAATTATTTCTAATAGAAGATTATTAACACCAAGAAAGGTAAGTTCATGTAAAGAAATTTACAGAAACTGAACATAACACAAACAATTCTAGGGTTTATTTGCGCCTATTCCACAATCTAGTCGTCACAGAGGATCTAGGTGTGGCGACGACGATACTCTTTTTGGATCCGATTTATAATCCAAAGTTAAAAAAATTAAGTGATCAAAAAAAAAAAACTCAATCTTTCAGAACTCAAATTAATCTTAGAATGAGTTCTTAAGATAACTGGATACACCTTCATGAGTAGCCGACATGCCTTTCTGGCCCTTCTTCCAGTTTGCTGGGCAAACCTCACCATGTGCTTCAGTAAATTGAATTGCGTCGATAACACGTAAAGTCTCCTCTACTGATCTTCCTAATGGTAAGTCATGGATTACTTCGGAACGAACAATACCTTCCTTGTCAATAATGAATAAACCTCTGAGAGCAATTCCATCCTCGAGAAGTACACCATAACTTCTGCTAATAGCATGAGACGAGTCAGAAACAAGTGGGAAGCTAACTGGTCCAATTCCACCCTGTTCAAGAGGGGTACGTCTCCAAGCAGCATGTGAGTATTGAGAATCAACTGAGACAGCGAGGAGCTGTACTCCCAACTTCTCAAAATCCTTTTGTGCCTTATTGAATGCTAAGATTTCTGACGGGCATACAAAGGTAAAGTTCAATGGGTAGAAGAACAAAACTACGTATTTTCCTCTGTAATCACTCAAAGAGATTTTCTTGAAGGATCCGTCTGCCATAACTGCTTCAGCAGTAAAATTTGGTGCTTCTTTTCTAACTAAAGTGCTCATTTCAGTAAACTATCTAAGCTTCAAAGTAGAGTTTTAAGAAAAATCTAAAATAAAAATAATTCTCCTTAAATCACGAAGAAGTGAAATCAAATTCACAGAATGAATTTTGCAAAACTGAAATTGTTGTGAGTTATACTCGAACCATTAATGGTGGGGGGGGGGGAGTTAATTCCCGGAACAATTTCTCCACTGTGGCGCCAAGTTTCAAAAAAATTGCATGTAAGAAAGTGAAAAAAGAGGAAATTAAATTTGAATAAATTAATCGACTATTATTATGAGTTATTAGAATATGGACAATGATTAAAAAGCAGTAATTGATTGGTAAGTTCTTTGGTTGAAAATAAATATCAAGCATTTTTAAAGTTTGCTTAAATACCTTGTATTTAAACAAACTAATCTTTTTTGATTAAAAAGCTTGTAATTCAGAAAGTACAGTTGAGAGTGTGCACCCGGCCTTCAAAGTGTTAATTCTGAATAGGGGATAGTTGTCCCAAGAGTTAATCATGGAAAGGCAAAATCTAAGTTGACAAGAATTACTAAAAAAAAGATGATAATTAATTAATAAAAGAATAAAGAAATTGATATATAATTTCTGAATTAAAAGAAGTAACTTACCTGAAATTTGTGACAAGAACTGCATGGTTAGTTTGGTCCGATAAGTATAATATATGGTACTCTATGGGTGTTGAACCAATATTACCAAATACATTTAATATGGAAGAATTAATTATTGTATTAAGAAGATCTGCATTAATAAAATTTTTCGGAATTCCATCTCTATTTAAAAAAAATTAAGATTATTAGTATTAAAAATGATCAAGTATTTAACATACATTTGAATAAGAATATATTCCAAGTCAATTTTTTTTGTAAATGAAAATTTACTCATTTCCAAAAGAATAAAAAAAACCAAAGTATAAATTCCTTTAAAATCGAAGATCTTTACAGGTTTTAAACTACAATCATTAATCGAATGAATAATTTTACAGTTAACTTGACTGATCCTTGTGACTTTTATAATACTTTTATATTAAAAAAGTCAAAAAAAAAAAATAACATATTTGGCGGTAAAATAATGGCGCTAATAAAAAGAGGTAGCCAAATAAGTAACTTAATTCCCATGCAAAGTATGATAGAAAAAAAAAATTAGTTTTTGGCGAGTACAAAAAAACAAAGATTATATAGGGATTTAATTGGTTGGAAATAACTGAGGTTTGTGTTGTCTCGAGCCACAACATATTTAATGAGAGATTAAGTTGGTCAAAGTATAATTGAGTATTGATTACAAATAGCTAAGGAGAAAAAAAGAAAAAAAAACAAAGATGCTATTTCATCTGGGTGCATTAACATGGCTGAGTTTGTTTGCTCACTATGCAAAGTTGCAAATGGATTCAATTGATTTTTCGACTGACTCAGACCAGGATGAATGCCGTATTCAATGTAATTTGAATTTTTTTCCATATTGTGCAACAAATGGGGTAACTTATATAAATGAGTGTTTTTATTTGAGAGCAAGGTGCTTAGATCCAAAAATTCAATTACAAAAGATTCCGGGAATTCCCTGCGGAATACTTGGTTCTATGGATGCTACCAAATATACAGGTTGTGAAAAAGGATGTGCACCTGTAGAATTTCCATATTGTGGAACTAATGGAGTAACTTATATAAATAACTGCGCATTAGATATAGCCACTTGTGAGGATTCAAATATTCAATTAGCAAGATTACCTGGTTTGGCTTGTGGTAGTGAATCCAAGTTTGATATTTCAAGTTCAGAATGTGAAGGGTTATGTTCAGAGCATTATATTCCATATTGTGGTTCTGATGGAAAAACATATATAAATTACTGTGAATTTAGAAAGTCTAAATGCAGAAATCCAACTCTTACAATTGTAGGTTTTCCAGGGTTGCCATGTGAAAGTCAGATTTATGATGAGAAAGTTATAATACAACAGACAAAGAAAATTGAATGTCTAAAAAAAAATAAATGTTCTTCCATATTGGTTCCTATATGTGGATCTGATGGTGTAACATATAGAAATCCATGCGAATTTAAGAGAGCAAGATGCAGAGATCCTACTTTAAGAAGAGCGAATATATTATTACCATGTGGGAGTAAAATATCTGATGGTGTGGAAAATATTATTGATAAAATGCCGAATACAACATCAACAGGAAGCACTAGATCATGTTGGTTTAAGTGTACAAAAGTATGGGAATATCCATTATGTGGTTCGGATGGTATAACTTATAGCAGTTATTGTGAGATGAGAAATGCTTTATGTTTGGATCCTGATTTGAGATTAGTAAAAATTCCTGGAGTAAAGTGTTCTAGTGCTTTTCAATTTACTAATCCTGTTAAAATAGATAAATGTAGGGATGATTGTCCATTTGGTAATACACTATCATATTTGTGCGGAAGTGATAATAAGACATACTATAGTTACTGTGAATTTAGTAACAAAATGTGTCGAAACCCTGAGCTATATTTAGCAAAGCCTATGGGATTTCCTTGTAAAGAAGAAGATAGGAGTAAGGAATTGGAATCAAAAGCTAAAGAATACTTGACATTGGACGAAGTATATTTTGGAATTACAAATTTCAAGTCCAATGCATTTGAGGAAAGGATAGAAGAATCAAGAGTTACAAATAATTCAATAATTGTGATAAATAATGCAAATTTAAAAGATAGTGATCGGATTAATGTAGAAAAGAATACAGGCCTATTATTTGATAATCGTATTTATGACATTAATAATTATGGTAATATTGAGACTAATAATACCTTGAATAAGAATATGACTGAAATGCTTGGGTATGAAGTTCATATGTTACACCATGGACTAAAGTCAGATTCTTGTGAATTTGACTGCAGTAATTCACCTAGGATGGCTCATTGTGGAAGTAATATGCTTACATATCCATCAGGATGTGCTTTTCATAGAGACCAGTGTAGAAACCCAAATTTACAACTTTTATTAGAACCTGGAAAACCTTGTTCACAATTGGATAATTACAGTATTTCTCAAGAGAAGATACAGGATTGTTTGAGGGATTGTACTCGTTCTCAGAAGGTTTATCATTGTTTGAATACTGGAGAGACTATATATAGTTATTGTGAATTTACTTATTTACAATGTTTAATACCTGGATATAAGATCGTTGGCCGTGTTGGAGTCCCATGTGATGATATCGCTGATTACAAGTATTATAAAAGTTCATCTAGTGAAAGTGGTTCTGAATATCATCAGGACAGCGAGAGAATAAATACTTACGAGGAAAATAATTTTGGCGATGATTATTCTGCAAAAGAGCGTGAATTCCAGAAGAAGATAAGAGAGATGCTTAATGAGATACCTTCTCATGAGTATACCGGCTTATATAGGATGAACCACAACTATTAATCATCTATAATTACAAGAAATAGCAATTGAAGTAATGATTTTGTATATATATATATATATATATATATATATATACATAAAGTCATTGCTTATAGTATAATGAAATTGCTTCCATAAACTAAAACAGAATAAAGCAAAAGATTGTAATTTAAAAGTAATATAAACATAGAAATGGAATAAGCAGTAAACTTACCACTTTAATTCTTGCTTTAATGGAAGAAATATCTTGGTTTAATTTTTCAATTTTGCTAAAATACGATGAATTAATTACAATCATTAATTTCTTTAAGTGAACAGCGAATTGAACTTACCTATGTTCAAATTCTTGTTTAAGATTTAAAACATACGGGACTTCATCAAGATTAAGCTCAAGAAAAAATCCGAATGAAAGTTCTACACATATCTTGGATAAATCGGGACTGGAGATTCAGATCATTTAATACAATTGATTGTTGATTTTAAAAAAGCTAAATGCATAAATTAACTTACATAAGAGTATCAACATAAACGTCACATCCAAGATTAGTTCGTGTATTCAGTTCACTTAAATTCATTTCTTTAAAGATTGAAACATTTCTCTCAAGTTTTTGACTAAAAGAAAAAAAAGGCCAAATGATTAGAAATTACTTAAAAATAAATATTAGGCTTTAAAATAATCCACTTACATTTCCTGGATCTTAACCAAAATCTCTTCTTTCTGCTTTAAAAGCTTTTCAAGATCTTTTTGTAGAACATTCTCGAGGAAATCTTCATATTTATGTATTTCCTCTATTTGGTTGTCAACCTTCATATTAATACGATATCACTTTTTATTTCAGTTAATAACTTTCTGACCAAACAAAAAGATTTAGCTTAGATGACAATATGAAATCGGATCCAATGTAAATATTCACACACCACATATATTTAAATATATAATTTTTAAAGGTACCTAAAATTAATACTAATAATTATTAAAAGTAGTTTCCCGCCAAAACAATTAATTCATTAGAAAACAAACGAAATATGTGGAATAAGTAAGTAAAGAAAGAAGAGTTTTCGATTTTTTTTTAGATTTCTATTGTTATTATTGTTAAGATTTTTAAGAAGAAGAGGTTTATTTTAATAGAATACAATCTGTGTAATGAAGCGTATTCTCTGAATTCAGTTAAAAGCTGACTCTTTTTTGTTTTTAGTCTATTTTTATTCTTTCTGTTTTTTTTTTCTTTCTCCTTCTTTCTTTTTCCTTTTTTCTTTCTCCTTTTTTCTTTCTCTTTTCTTCTTTCTCTTTTCTTCTTTATTTTTCCTTTTTTACTCTTCTCCTTTCTATCTGGAGAGAACTTTGTAGAGATTGTGGGGCTCAAAAAATAATATAGGCGTTTACTGAAGGATGTATAGAAACAACAAAAAAGAGTAAAAGAGAGGAGGGAAGTAATAAAATAAGCATTAATTAAATCCAATTACCAACAGATTGACTAATTGGAACTTATAGCAGAAAGATTGACATCTAAATTTTCATTGTTAGTGTTAAAAGATCGTGATTTAGGGCTTTGGGGAGGGACAAGTTTGAGGCTATTTAAGTTTGAGGTGTGTGATTGAGAAGGTTGGGAAGAGGAAGAAGAAGAGGGGGAGGCTTGAGAGTCAATTGAATCATGAGAATCATTGTTAGAACTCTCTTGTGAGTTGATTTGGTCTTCATCATGATAAGATGAATTCTGATCATCTTGTTTGGTATCCCAGGCAATGTTAAATCTAGTAAGTCTAGGGGATTCGCTAAGAATGATTCTTTGAAGTTTATCAAGAATCGGAATATCAGGAGGATTATCTTCTAATAAAGGATCAGTATAAACGTTGTGTACATAATATCCAATTCTAATAAATTCTTCATTGCGATAAGATCCAAGAATTAACACTACTGCCATTCCATGTATATCTTCAGGGGGTATCTTTGTAAAATCTGGGGAGGGAGCTTTAAAAATAAACTTGAGTGCTCCTCTCGTTATTGGACCTAAAGCAATGCAGTCAAGTTCTTGGTCCATATCTTTTGATTCTGCACAGCTAATATATACAATTTTCCATTCAAGATCTTCCTCAAGATTTTGTAAACATTCGAATGAAATTTCAAATTCGAATGGGTCAGTAATTTCTGTTGGATTTTTGAAAACTTTAACTGAAGTTACATTTACTAAGGACATATTTTTCTATATTTAATCGATTTCTGTATCTTCTTACTTTTTATATGAAATTTCTTTAGTATGTATTATTAAATAGTATTTTGGTTTCTAAGTTTTTAATTCCAAAAGTTTCTTGTTTCTCTTTGAATATTAAGATACCAATAGTACTAATTTAGCATAATCATCCAAACTTAAACTAATAGTAGTGATTAATTTTTTATATCCAATAATTACCTGAGAGCACACAATTACTTACTGTATATATAATATATATATATATATATATATATATGTATATATATAAATTATATTTTATTTTAATCTCTATAATTTCTCAGGTAGTAAAATCACAGGAATTTATGATTTATACTTTTATTTATATATATTTCTATATTTACTTTTGTTTTCTCTTTTTTCTTTCTTTTTTTTTTTCTTTACTTTTTAATGTAAATAATACATATTTTAATTATTAAAATAATATATTTTGTGTATTTGGGCGGGCTCTCTCAAATATAATAAATTAAAATATTTTTTTCATGATCCTAGGGAGGTAAAATTGGGAGAAAGGTAGATATAAACAAAATATAAAAAGTTAAAATATTTATAAAGAATAAGAGTTAGAACTTTGAATAATTAAGTATTATTGGTCTTTGAATTAGAATAATAATCAAAATCCTAGTTAAAATTTGGTCTCAAATTAGATTTTTTCTTTCTTTTTATTTTATGTTTGAATAATTAATAAAGGTACCGACTAAATGAATTCAGTGGGGGGCGAAAACAAAAAATTAATATTAATTTGATAAGCATTTTAGATTAAAATAATACGAGTTAAAATTAGATAGTAATATATATATATATATAGAGGAATAAACAAAAAAAACTCTTTGAAAAATATAGTAATACATTAATAGAGTTATTATGGAAGATTGAAAGAATTTCTGAAGTAAATGATGGCAGATTTAATAATGGGAGTGAATTTTGAGGATAAAGAAAAATATATTAAGGAGTATGATATGACAAGAAGTGAGGATATAGTTGAGTTAATAAGGATTTTAAAAATTCAAGAAGATTCAAGAAAAGCATTAGAAGAGGAGATAAAAGTTATAGTATCTAATAATGATAGTTTAAGGCAGGAATTAATATCTAGTAATGAAATGGTTAACTATTGGAAGGATCAGTATGAAATATGTAATACATCTTTAAGAATAGTGAATGAAGAATTTGAGCAATTAAAGGTTCATGATGAAAATATGAATACATTTAATAAGACATTTAAAAGCATGGAATGCAAAAAATGTGGATATGAATGGAAGAGAGTAAATGTTGAAAACGATAATAGAGATTTGAAATCAAGATTAAATGATGATGAACTGGAGAATTTCTTGGATATTACAAATATTTTAGTTTCTTCGTTATATATGAATGAGGTTGAAGGTTTAGGTATAGATGAGAATGACCAAGGGAAAGATAGAAAAATAGATGTTGATATTAATAAATATCAGGCTACGATAGAAAAGGATCAGGAAATTGGTAAGCTTAAGATTGAGAATGAAGAACTTAAAATACTTTTAGAAAAAAAGGAGAAGATAATAATTGATCTACAGAATGAATTGGGTCAGTTAAAGAGTAAATTAATGGTAGAAAAGAGCTTACCAAATGTATTTAAAGTAGTTAGTAAGAATTTAGTAGATATTGTATCAGAGGATGATTCTCCAGAATCTAGTTCAAAGGTTATATCAAATGATGACGAATTGCTGGAAAAGTTTAAAAAGAATTATTTGGAACAAGTAAAATCGATTAATAAAAAAAGAAAGATAGCATTTTGTTCAGATAATGATTTAGATAGGAAGGAATTGAAAGTTTCTGAAAGTTTAGATATTTTGAATGATTTGAATAATGATGATAAATCAGAAGAAGTTGGGGATATTAATAGAATTTCATATTTTGATAATGATGATTTAAAGACGGATTTAAGATATTATGATAATTATTCCAATAATATAAATACTAAAACCAATGATAAACTTTTGAGTGATTCAAGTGAAGGTATTTTGGATGATATTATTGATGAGAAGAAGTATGATAATGAGTCAAACATGAATTTAAAAATAGTAGAAGAGTTGGATTGGGAAGATGATAATTGGGGAGAGGATGAAGAGAAAGAAAAAAATGAGGATTTAAATTATATGAAAAAGGAATTGGAGAATGATACTATTAATGAAAAGGATTTGGATTCTTTCAATAAGGAGAAGTTAATAGACAACGAAAAAATAACTAATGAAGTGGAAGGGAATAAAAAGAATGTAACAGGTTTAACATCATTTTTGGATGATTTTGTAAGCCATATTTCAGGATCTATAAATGATGATAAAATTGGAAAAGATGATAATAAAAATGAAAGCAGTTTCAAGGATATTTTTGATTCTTATAGTAGTAATAAAGTTAGTAATGTTTTGAATAGTAATAACTTTAATAACACAAACAGTCATAATATTCCATCATTTACAGGATTCGTTTCCAATATCAAAAGCTTCTTTAATGATGATAAGAATAAATCTTTCGTTGATTGGAATCTTAAGAAAATCCAGGATAACCAGTTGGATTCATTAAAAAACATGAATAAATCTGTTATTAATAGTATCAGTAATAATGATCATGACAAAATTGATAGTGACTGGGATAATGATGATTGGGGATTTGAGGATGATGAAGAGGAAGAAGATGATGATAAGGAGAAAGAGGTGAAAGAGGTAAAAGAGGTGAAAGAGGAGAAAGAGGGGGAAGAGGAGGGAGATGATTGGGGCGATGATTTTTTCAGTGAGGAAAGTGGTGATTATGACACAAGTCGTAAAGAGGAAAGAATTCATTTATGGAAAAATAGTGATATAGGGATTAAAAATAGTATAGAATATAGTGAATCATCATCTGAAGTAAAGATCCAAGATCAAGAAAAATTGGCTAAAGGTTCATATGAAGGACTCAATAAATTCAATGATTGGGATAGTATGGGTGATTGGAGTGACGACTTTGAGGCTTTCAGCAAAGAAGAGAAGGTGGACGAGAGGATTAGAAAGGAAGGAGAGGGAGGAATAATAACAGAAAAAGAGAAGCTTAGAATAGAGGAGGAGGAGAGGGTAAGAAAAGAAGAGGAAGAGAGACTTAGAAAAGAAGAAGAGGA